GCTTTGCTGTAATGCCCTGATGGAAGTGCATTCAGTGGTCCACAGCCACCACTCCTAATTCCAGGCTGAGCTGCATGGCACCTGCAGATGTCTCACATCTCTGTCCACTTTTACTTTAGCCAAGGCCCTCTCAGGTGGCTGTGTTCCTTGGAGTAACAATTGAGATCCGACTCGTGGCAGTCTGTACTATCCTGACTTCTTGTCCAAGGATCTGATATCGAGCTGGACCATTTGGCTCTCATCATCTTTGAGTTGCTTGCAAGGGTGTGGAGGGACAAACCTATAGCTCTCTTCCAGTTTGCTTGCTTTTTACCCTCAGGATGGAACCCAGGGCCTCTCATACTTTATTGGTGTTAGGATCCAGGCATTATGCTGCCCTGCCTGTCACCTGGCAGAATGCGCTCAGGCAGTACCGTGGTCAGCCCAGGCTCCTATGGCTGCTACATCACTACATAGTCTGCAGGAAGGTGCAAAGAGGCAAACTCCGCCCACCTCCCCTCTTCTCAGCATCTCTCTGAGGAGGTAGACAATCTCTGCCTGTCTCATCCCTTTCTTCTCTCTCCCCTCTCCCCCCACGCCCTTCCCTTCTCAATACCTCTAGCTGTATTCCTAACAGTAAGCCCCTCACAATGCCACCCCCCAACCCCTTGCTAGAGTTGTGTACAAAGCTTACTCTCAGCTAATGCTTTTTTCCCATTTCCCTTTATTTAGAACTTATTTTAAATGGGCTTTATTGTGCTGTAATTGTGTCTCTACAGGCCCTCTTAAAACCCCGGGATGAGCATGCACATATACTGGCAAGTTATAATATTACAGTCTCGATAGAGTTGAGTCCTGCTTACTGTAAACATTTCAGGCAGAATAAGGCCAGAACCCAGAGATTCCACAAATAGTTATCACTTCCTGACAAATTCATGTCCTCCCCAGCACAATGTTCAATTCAGGGGAATCTGATGGACAGATGTTAAAAATGAAAGACAGATTCGAAATTCCCTGGATGAATGCATTCTAGAATGTTGTTTCTGAATTTCAAGGAAGGTTCACTAAAATGCTGACTCTTCCGGGCTAAAAGCAGAAGTCTGGATGGGAAGGCCTTTGGGCATGATACACTACCACAGACAGATAACCAGAGGTGGGATCTTTATTTCACAAGTTTCAAGATACAGTACAAAACGAATCTGTACATCTCTCTATTAACAGGGTTTGTTTACACAATTATAATACACTTCACCAGCCTTTATATTGCATTCCATTAAATACAAAATAAATTTACAAAAGTCTACTATGGTGTTCCTTCACAATGCCAGCTTACGTTCTTTAAGAACTCCCCTCACACTTTGATAATGTCAACATTGTTTTGTAAATAAAAGAGAAATAGTGTCAGATTGTTCATCAATAAATAGTAAAGACAGCACATCTGAATGGCTCTCTGCACATAAACAAAGGACCCTCCTTTCGCACACAGCTTTCTAAATGTGTAAACAGTCTCTTTAAGACACAGATCACTGGTACACAGGGTTATTTCCAATTCTCTTCAAATCCCTAGTGGGTGGAGACACTTGGCTTCTTCTCAAAGAACACGACCCATCTAAAAACCAGACACTACAGCATCCAGCAATATTCTTCTCTTATATTTGAGCAACTGACGAAATTTTTTTGCATAAAATAGTTTTCTTTTGTTCTGGCTATTTCTTGTATACCTCTGGCCATAATATTGTCTAATATACTTTAGAGTCACTGCCAAATACCAGTGGTTCCTGGAGTAAATACGAGCTTGCTCTTCTTGGCGGGGAGTGGGCCGCCAGAAGCATCTTGTTCTGAAATGTACATGTGAAGTGTTAGTGCAAACCCCTGGAAAGGAAGGTTTCCAAGATGGCAGCAGACACCCGTGCAAATGCCACACACATGGAGAGCTGAGGTCCGCATTTGGAGGCCCACATGCCTGCTCCAAGCACTAAGGAGCAAACATGAGGAGCAGAGAAGGGAGGGGGGAAAAAACCAACCAACCAGCCAAACAAAAACAAAATTCTATGTGTAGAATACTCAGCCATCAATCGGCTCGTTACCAGATCCCCGAAGGAGGTCTGTAGTGCTTCTCCATGGTAGAGACAAGACAGGTGAGCGGTAAAATGGTGAGAAATGAATCTTACATTCAGAAGAATAACAAACCTTCAAGAATATCAAGACTTAAGACTTGTATTTTTACATTAGTCTCGCTTAGGTGTTAATGAATTTTTGATAAGAAAATACCTTTGATTTACCTTTTTCTGTGCTTTCGGCTAGTAACCAAGAAAACCCAGAAACCAGAAACCAAAACTTCAAACTCAAAAAGAAAACCGTCACCTTTGGAAAACACTGCCAAAGTAAAACTCCTGGTCTCAAGACTCTGAAATGTCTAGCTACCCAAAGGGGCCCAACAGAGGACAAGACAGACAACAGGCAGCAGGAGGGATGGGCTACAGAGAGGGAGCAAGGAAGCCAGGCTCTATCTGTAAGTCTAAATCCTGATGCTAAAACTCCTGAAGCCTGGAGTTGGCTTAATGTCACTGACATTAACTAGCTTTATTGCCACTTTATTCAAATGGATGCCATTAGTAAGTACTGTGCATTATTTTTGAGGAGAAACACCAAACCCAATTCCTATTTTCTTAGGTACCATGTCCCATAAGCAGGAAGGGACCAGGAGCAAAGCATTTTGAGACCATCTTTGAAAGAAGCCAGAAGAACTGAAATTACCTTAAACATGCTATCCAGATTTCTGGGCACAAACGACCGAGCTGGAAGCAGAAGGGGCAAATGAGCCAAGGGAAGGACGCCTGCAGGATTAACAAGAAAAGACAGCGAGGGGCAGGCCTGCTCCCTGAAAACACCACCACGCTGTCCCCTCCAGCCTTAGGTAGTGCATTCTAGTTTAGGAAGTGTTTTTTCTAGGTACTCTAGGAAGGGAGGAAAGATGGACACAAAACGCGTCTGTCCAAGGACACACTAGGTGGGTGGCACAGGAAAACCACAGAAGTCGTAACACCTTAGAGAGTTCCCAACTACTGGTTAATTTTTAGAGACTGGGTCTTGTTTTGTTGCCTAGGCTGGTCTTGAACTCCTGGCCTAAAGTGATTTTTCCTTCCTCAGCCCCACAAGGAGCTGGGACTGCTGGTACACCACTGTATCCGGTTCCTCTGAATGACTTCAACAGTGCCTTCTAAATGAAGAGTGAGTGCCGCCACCTTGGGTTATGCTGGGATGGGGGCAGGGTGAGGAGGAGAGGCAGCAGTGCCGGCCCTGATTTACCAGACCACTTACAAGCGCAGGCCACAGAATAAGCCTTTATATTTACAGGTGCTGCCCAAAGCAACATCACATTTTTGAGAGGAATACTTGCTGCCTTTCAATGACCCTCTTTTATGTATATGGCCTCTTTGTGGCCACCTCTTCAAATTTGGAAGCAAATATCTGGGAGGAAAGTTTGCTTACTGGGTTTCCCATAATACTGTAAGCACACACAAAGTATACACCTTCACACTTAAAACCTTCATGTTCATTATAGATGAACTAAGTCTAGATCCGATTATAACCCCAACATTCAAACCCAAAGCATTACAAACACAAGTGATAAACTCAAGTTTAAAACAAGTTTCCCGGCAGACAGGGAAAGAGCACAGGTGACTGAACAGGCTGGTATCAGTTCACTCACAGGGTGCTGGCTGCTGGGCACTGCCACTGGATGATTACACAAACCACAAATTCAGCTTAGGCTTTAATTCTTTCACATGGGTGATTATGTGACACTCTCAAGGTTTGTTGTTTTTGCATCTGTTTAAGCAGGCAATGCTCAAGTGTGACAGCAGCCCTAAGTTCCTAATGTTTACAACAGGAGGGTGATATGACAGCCAAGCCAGCGGCTGACTTTCTACAGCCACATAAAACTCACAAATAAAGTTACCACAGCATACAGACAGAAATGGTACACCCACGCCTTGGTTTTCGACATGGGTTGGTTCTAACCCATCCGTAATGATCTGAGTTTTAGTATTACAAAGAAAGTCACCGCCTGCCATAGCTTGACAACAGTATTTCATATTTGAAGATTTTCAGAGGGTTCTCTGCTCTCTGTACAGTAGGAAATGAAAAGTAAAACGAAACCTGGGAAGCAATGCATTAACTTGTGGGCGGGTGCGTGCCATCCGTCCCCCTGACGTCGGTTAAGGCTGTTTTCTGATTTCTCCATCAGTCCATCCTCTGGCTTCTAGACTATTCTGTATGCTCAAACCAACAAGCAAGTCACACTGAGGAGTTGGGAGCAAATTCCTATGTGAGTGCAAGGAGTCAGTTCACTGAGTTTTACTTCTATTCCATTACAAGAAGTGAAGTTCACAAAGAATTCTTTAGCAAAGCCTTTCAGTCTTTCGAGGAAGAGAAGTCTGCTATGAAGCATCACAGTCGCCAGTATAGCAAACTGCTCAGTAATCCCTTTTGATATAGAAAGTGCCAAATATGTGTGCTTGCATGTAGACTGGTAAACTCTCCCAGTTACCGCATTTCCCACACACCCTGAAGACGTCCTGTTTGGCTTGTTCTATTTTTAACTTAAAGGCAAGTTCTAGTCTCAGACTTAAGCATGTTTTTATGGTTAAACTTGCAACTAACTGAGTTCTCCCAGGTTGTCAGGACCGTAAAGGACACTGATGCAAGAACACACGCACACTGAAGGATGACAGAGGGGTCTCAGGAAAGACGGGTGGGCACAGAGGACATGACTCAAGAGTCTTGTGTGTGTTTCCAGGACAAAGAGAGAAAAAGAAGGAAAAAGAGGCAAGCCACCGAGAGCTGTCATCCCATATGGCACTGAAGCAAACATTCACTGTAGCTCCAGTGAGAGCTACTCGTCCCTGAAAAGGAAGGCAGCAGGCTCTCAGCAGCTTCTGGGATCCCACACTTCCTCGAGCCTCTTCCGGGCGGTGGCCACCATCCAGAGCCCTGTGTCAAATGCAAGTGTTCTCAGCAAGCAGCTCCCTAGAGGTCACGGACCCAGGCGGGTGTGTGGCTGCTACTGTGGTGGCTGCTGCTCTGGTGGTCCTTCCTGCTGGGGAGGAGCTGGCCGTGGCCCTGGGGGCCTGGGTACCGGCACATCCTGGTGCTGTCTCTGTCTGTAAGCTATGACCGTACCCAACAGGAGCGCGATGATGGTCATGAGGTAAAGGTCCCACTCGGGTCCCAGAAGCTGGTCCATATCCAGTTGGGTGAATATGTCTCGGATCTGAATGAGAACAACACAGAAAGCATTATCACTTCAACGTCAGCCACAGAACTCTGAAAGCAGTCATGTGACAAGCAGTTCTGAAGGCCTGGGCTCCAGGCCACTGTATGCACCGGTTCTAACAAGGGTTTAAAACTCTGCAGCTGAAGTCTCCAGAGCTGAGCTGCTGTGTCCTAACAGCTGGCAACATTGTATGTCTAACCCAACTCTTGCCACCAGGAATCTAATGTGGCAATTCCCAGCTACTTCTCACAGTAGACATTGGAAAGGGTCACCAGGTAACAAAAGAAACTCCACAAACCCTGTACACTGGCGTATCTCTAACCTGTCCACAGTGACAGCAGGCCAGCTGGCTGTGCTTCTCCCATCTAACTGAAGACTTCAGGGCCAGGCATCTATTGGCTGAACAAACGCCTCTTTTTGGTTATGTTTTTTTTGTTGTTGTTGTTTGTTTTTGAGACAGGGTTTCTCTGTGTTGTACCTCTGGTTGTCTTGGAATTCACTCTGTAGACCAGGCCAGCCTCAAAATCACAGAGATCCAATTGCCACTGCTTCCTGAGTGCTGGAATTAAAGGTGTACACCACTGCTGCCCAGCTTTGGCTAGGTTTCACTATTTCACACATAAATTTAAACTTACAAGTTATATTCTTAGTCTATGAGATTTTGTAAAGTTGTGCCCCCAAAACTCTTGTAATATACATTTTGTAGGTATAGGCACCAAATTTTCTAGAAAAAAAAATTATAAGAAACTATTGTGTTCCCTGTGGGATTCTGAACCTTTTTTTAACCCAGTCTGGCTTTCTTATCATCAATGCTTACTACTCTTGCATTTTTTTTTTTTTATAGGCTGGGATTCCTTGCTCTTTTTTTGTTTCAGTTGGAGAATCTTACTGTTTTCTTTGTAGATCTGTATAAAAACTCAGCAAAAGTATCCTCTCTGTGGCACGCCACTGTACTAAATCCTAGACTTGATCACTTATGGTCTGGGATGGCTCTGGATCACTTAAGGAAAGCATGGGAGATAATGGTCTGGGATTGCTCTGGGAGAGTCAGAGCTGTCTCATGTTGGCTGTACATAAGCCAGGCAATTGCTCTGTCCCCAAGTCTAAGCCCAGTCCTCACTGTCAGCTGCTTAGAGTATGTGACAGAAAGTACAGCACACTGGCTCATGCTACCAAGGAACTCTAACAAGTGACAGTATACATATTTTAGAAACCAGATGGATAGGGTCTAAGGTGTCCTGGTTCTGGGAATCATGTGTGGAGGACCTTGGTGGTGTGGGTTAAGGTGGTAAAGGGAGAGAGGTCTCTGTTAGTGTGGGAGCAGCATGACTTACTTCTGCATCTGCAATGCATGGGAGAAGCTGACCCCCAGGGCAGGTCTAATGGAGCAGCACCATCTGCTCCCAGACCCATTTAAGAGTTAGGTATCATCCTTTCTCAGTCTGGAATCAACTAAAGGTAAACGGCTCTTAACCAGGGCTCTCAACACCACAGCATTTCTGGGGCAAACTGAGTACAGGAGAAAATCTACATGGCAGACCCAGGGCAATTACACACATGTCTTGTTACTACAGTTGGTAGCTTTGAGGGGAACAGGTAACCCACCACCTAGTTAGCTTCTGTCACCCATTTAAGCACTCAGGCTCTTTCAGAGACAAAAGCTCTGTGGCATTTCAAACATCTGCTTCACTGTTGGAAAACTCACAGTTCCGAGACTCAGCTCTCAGACTTCTCCTCCATCTTTCTCTTCTCACAGTATTGGTTTGAGTCTCAGCCAGGCATGCGCCTGACTTAACTTTTTATTACTGTTTCAAAGTGGGGAGTTAGGTCTCAGCTTTCCCTGAACAAGAAAACATTTGTACCAATGACAAGCGCTTTAATGCTAAGAACCCGAGAAGTGTTACTTAAAAACTCTGCCATTCACCCTGCTTGATGAACTCATTTGTACTTTACCTGGGAAGAAGGTCCCCAAACTTTTAATCTCTAGGCCTAAAAAGTGACATAATTTGTATTTTTTAAATTAAGAGACACACATCACTTACATTTGCTTCCCGTATGTACTGTAAGAAATAGACGACACCCAATTTGCAGAGTGCAAGGAAGACAGGAACTTGTGCATCTGGGCTAGCCTCGGCTGCCATGTCATAAAAGCGTTTTGCAAGGTGAATATCCTACAGTGCAGAAAATAAAGTAAAACTCATTCTTGTCAAAATATACAAAAGGTATTGATTTAGTTTCAGAAAAGTTGTCCTGCCTTTCAAGATCCCACTTAAAATGTCCACTACCTAAGGGAAAACCCCAAGTTTAACCTGGGTGAAAATTCTGTAATTGCCTAATTAAATGATTTTGAAAATTTCAAACTAGGAATTGGAAAGAAACAACTCATTTCCTCCACTGTAACATCAGATTTTATGTGTCCATACCCCGGATCCGGGCACACACGAAACACATAGTATTGCTGACCTGGAGATTCCTAAGGACAGCCTCTGTTTCCAGCCACCCTTTCGCTAACACTTTAGTCAGTGTAGGCAGACCTGTGTCTGCTCACACTGGGGAGGGTCGTCAAGACACTGGTCCTTTCCTAGAGAAGTATGGGAATCTATGTGGGAGATCCCAACTCCTACTATGTGGTTTTCTGAGACAGAAATGCCTGGAGTCAACCCTGTGCACACATAACCTGTCTCTGCAAAGGAAGACTCCAGCCTGACACCTACTCCTTCCTTAGTTTGCTGTCTGGTCTGGGAAAGCCTCAGAGATCATTTGGCCAGCAGCTTGCTACCCTGCCTGAGGAGCAGGCTCTTGTGCTGACTGACACAAACCCTCACAGGGAGTCTCGCCACAGTGTTTCTGAAGAGGGTGATCCCAGTCATTACCAATTCTGCCCCAGGTGGCAGGACAGGGATGACGGAGTTCAGAAGAATGCCAGCCTTACAGGACAGAATGCTATTACACACGGGAAAGGAAGAGCACCAGAAATTCCTCCTCCACACACAGATTTAAGTAGAAGCTGTTACTTTCAGCTAGTCCTTATTCTCAGCCCTCAAATGTGTCATTTGTTAAAAAGAAAAGCACTTTCGATTAATAGTAAGAGTGTGGAGAGTATGCAATTAAAAAATACATAATTTAAACATTTTTTGACAACCGAATCTTTCAAGGTCTTGGATCCAACTTTCTGTGCTACCATAGACTTGGTGCTGTGGCTGACTTAACAGGGTAATTCAACCCTATCAAACTGCATCCTGTATTACATTTCTAGTCATCATCAGCCTTCATACTTTGGACTGACTTTTGCTGTTGCTGCTGTTTTGAGACAGGGTCTTGTATGGACTTGGGGAAGACCTTGACCCGATCCTCTTGTCTCTCCTTGCTGGAATCACAGGTGTGTACCACCATGCCAGCTGCATTGGTTACTGTTTAGTAGTTTAAATGTTTCCTTCATTTACAAAGCAGGACAAAAGTGGAAATGGTGATGAGGATGCTTTATAAAGTCATGCCATGTAGGAGTTATTGTGAATTTTCTATCTGATCACTTGCTCTCAAAAGCTGAACCTAGGCTCCCTTCATGAATACTCTAACTTTTATTGTAGTGTTTGTCCCAAAGTGTACTAGCAGTAATGCTTTCTTGGAATTCTTTTGGGGTAGACAGGCAAAAACTTAGGACTATTCTAAAGGAAATCAGACTTCATTAGGAAGGTGAAGACATCAGTAGAAAAGATTTTTTTTAAGCCATTTTAGAATGATTCAGAAACAATGGCATTGATTGAGAAGGTGGATATAGTTCCTGAAACAAGAGGCTACCACAGGGCAGTACTACCCAGAATGCAGCAGTGCTCACACTCACATGTGTGCTGGACATGAGATGCAGGGACACACTAGAAACCCGCTTTTTATCTGTGGCCCAAAGTCTGACACAATTCCAGGGCAAGCATCTCCCCTTGTCTTGGCAATGCTACTCAAGTGTCAGCTTTGACGCCACACTCACCTGTTTAATGCCTAGGCCCTTCTCATGCATGTAGCCCAGGTTAAACATAGCTTGGGCACTGTGTTGTTGCTCCGAAGCCAATCGGTAATGAATAAAAGCAGTCTCGTAATCCACATCAGTGCCAAACCCATAGAAATGGTAGTCTCCAAGTTTAATTCTAGCCACGGTATAACCTAAAACAAAAGAGTGTGCTTAAAACAACTCATTTTTAAACAGGCTTATATAAAGCAGAATTTCCATTTGTACTGGAAAAACTTTAAATGGATCCCTCAACCAAGTTCTACAGTCAGTAAACATTTATAGTAGACATTATTTCTTCTGCAGAAAGCACGTGACAGTCACCGAGAAGTCAGCCAGGTGGGTGGTAACTCTCTGTCTCACTAATGCCACCCTTCAAATGACATGCTCCATTTATCATGTCATTTAAATCTAAAATGACTGTTCAGCTTGAGCACTGTGTGGGACAGGAGGAGGAGAGGCCTAATGTGGAGAGGAATTCTTGAGGAAAATATGTTAAAGAAAAAGAAGGGAAAGGATAAGAGTTCTTTTCCGTTTCCGGCTGGTTTTCTATTGTACATTCTTTAGTTCTCAATTTATACAATCAGCTGGCCAGAAGCTGAAAACCAAGTGGTGATGGGAATGTCCAGTCAAGCACCGGCAATTCAAATACTCACCTAAGAATGAAGACCGGTCACAAGCAAGATAAGCTACGGTACCTCTGAGGGTTCATGAGAGATAAAAATCAGCAGAGTGAGGGATCCTGGGCAAGACTCACTCTGACAATTAGCCACTCACCTTGAGAGGCGGCCCTGTTCCAATGCAGCAAAGCTCTGGGGTAAGTCTCATTCTCACCTACAATGGTTGCTTCTCCTACAGGAAAGACGCGAAACAAAAGTCAAGTGTCGTCATTTGTAATCTAGGGTGACTACACGGAGCACAGCACATATGAAATTAAGCTAGTATGGAGAGTAAATAAATATTAGAAGAAGATACTGGCTTCAAAGGAATCACTGATTCAGGGTGACACTACTTCCTGGAGCAGGATTCAGCCACAGCCAGATACTGAGACCACTGTATAGATTTGGATGGGGAAAGGGCAGTTTTGCATTTATTTCACTTTGAAACTCTTATCGCCGAATGCAGTTAGGCCTGCAACAGGGCGCAAGTGGATCTTACTCTGGTCAAGGATGAAGGCTGCGTTGCTCTGTGCCACTTCGTAGCCCTGTTCGGCCAGCAGGAGGTACTGGACCACTGCAGCATTGTAGTCCCCGTCTTTATAGCTGTTGTAGGCAGTCATGAGCCTCTCCGACCAGCGGCCTCGCTCACACACGTTCTTAAACAACTGTGCGAGAGAAACAGGACATGCACGCTAGAAAACAACCTTCGCCTCGGGGCTGTAGGTGATTAAGTTTGCTCCATGACTTGCTGGCAGCTGGCTTTCCTCACCCTTTAGAAGCAAACACACAGCAACTAATAGCAACCTACATATTATTTACTGTGGCTGGGCTATTTTAGTGATTTCTGTGTAGTACAGGTATTAGTAGCACATTCTTCTACCTGAGGTGAGTCTAATTAACATCCCCACTTTATAAGTGAGGACACTAAATGAAGCAAAGATTGATTTTCAAATCCAGGCTATGCTTTTACCAATATCCCTCCAGTGACAGGAGCGAGAGCTAAAGAGAAGCAGCTCCAGTTAGCAGATGTGGGCTGTGCCCTTTGCACGCCTCCTTCAAGAACTCTTTAGTCTGACACTATGTATCATAAACTCCGGAGGAGATACAGATACTGCTGATGTCTGCACTCAGCCTCACAGACACTGCTTATTACAGGAACCAACAGTAAGGAGGAGAGCATGCATAGATGTCCAGTGTCCTCCCTTGGAAGACCACTGCGAGTGGGCTGAGTCGGGACACATGGAAGGAATCATGTCAAGGGAACCAGAAAGGGAAGCGCAGGCTGCAGAAAAGCCCTCACCTCCACCGCAGTGTGACAGGACCTCATCACCCCTGTGCCGCTGGCGTGCATCTGTGCCAGGTTATAGAAAGCCAGGATATGGCCTCCTTGAGAAGCTAAATTAAAATACTTCAAGGCCTGCTTATAATCTCTCTTGACTCCAATGCCATCTGCAAGACAAATGAAACAAAAGCAAACGCAAGGTGAGCAGAGTCTTAAACAGGCTTTAGTGATGCACCACAGAACTTTCTCTAGGAGGAAAAAAAATTAGTGAACGTCTTATTCTTACCCAATAATATATGTCAGTCTCACCAATGCAGATTTAATAGTAATGTAGACTAATATAAAATGTGAGAAATGAGATGCATGGTAATTGAACTGGTAGAATATTAACTCATCAGCATCGAGTCTCCCATTTCTATATCCGAGTGCCACATAATGGTAAAGCAGTTTCGATTGCTATGTCCATCATTAACCCTATGATGATACCTACTGTAGTACATAGAGCCAAGCTGCAGCTGCCCATCCACCCAGCCTTGCTCAGCAGCTTTCTGGAAATACTTGAGTGCCAGGTCATAATTCTGCAGAATAAGATGTCAAATGGTAAGAAAGCACAAAACACTGACACACTTGGGAGTACAGACAGTCATTCTCTGTAAGAACAAAGTATACATATTCTTAAAAGACCACTTTAAAAGGACCATCTTATGATTAAAAAACCCCCATAGCCATTAATGGTCCAGGGTACAGCGGAGTTAGGGTCTCATAAAGAAAAGCAAGAGAGAGTTTTGTGAACTAACTTATATGTTTGCTCTCAGAAAGCACAAACACAAGCAGAATGCCAGAGTAGGAATTAGGAAAAACTTTTTATTAATCACCTTATCCCTTCAAACTTTAATTTTTCTATTATTAAATAAGGAATATTATTTTCTCCTTATTTGTTCCCTTCCTGTGTACATTACAGGATGCTATGTTCTTAGATCCCATAGAGCATGTGTAACCATAGGAAAAATCAAAATACACTAATCTGAATTTTGTTAGGGAATAAATATAGGTAAGTTTTTAAGACCCAGCTCTTAGTTTCAGACACAGAAAAGTATGTTGGATGGCATGACATCATGATTCGGGGCATCTCCCATGAGACAATGGCAAGGACAAACAAGTGCTTGTGGACACAACACTGACATTTAGGAGGTTACTGGTGGCCTGGACATGAGCCAGAAACCTGACAACTAAGAACTAAAGTGGCTTACTAAGGTTCACTCTTTGGAGACACTTGGCTTTCAGCGAAGGACTGGAGAGAAGAGAGGCGGAAGCTAGAAGAAGCAAAGGGCGGAAGGGAAACCTCTCTCTTCTAAATAGACGTGAATGCCTTCTTAGCTCTGAGTAAAGAGGCGGGCAAGGAAGAAAGTCCTGGAGAGATGGGAAGAGTGCCGAGTGTAGGAAGCAGACACGAAGAATGAGAGACAACTCTACCCCTCAGATGGTCCCAGAGATGGAGCTGGCCTAACCTAAGAAGACAGTTAGATGAGGTGTGAGGCATGGCATGGGAACAGGTCAACTGGAGTCACCAGGAAAGGGCTTGTTGCGATGATGGCTCCGCCTGGCTGAATGGAGAGCTATACCTCCTGCCCGCCCGCACTGGCTGACTGCTTCCTAAACTCAGCATGCTGCACACACTTACAACTTGAACTCCTCTTCCATAGAGGTAGGCCATTCCAAGCCCGCTCTGTCCCACGGGGTTGCCCTGTAAACCAGAGAAATCAGACAACAGTGATAAGAGCTCATTACAAACAACCCGGGGGAGGACAAATGATTTCAGGAGAAATAATCTGAAGCATATTAGAATATGTTTCAATTAGTTGCCAATTAAAAACAAACTTTTCCCTTCCATTTAGAGTAAACGCAGCTTGACTTTTAGACACTAGAGGGCTATCAGTAATTTGCTTTTAAAGATTAAAACATTAAATGATGATAGGATCAAGTCTTGTGACCTGACTTATGATCATAATCACCATGAATTTATGACACAAATTTGACTAACATATTTCACCAAAATCAAAAGCAGGTCACATCTGGGGTATTTATTCATTGGTCACTTCCTGTCCTAACAAAAAAGGAAGGACAATACTATGGAGCAGAGTCAACACTCATGCATTAACTGCAACAATGCTACCAGGTGGTAGTGATACTTAAGATTTTTAGTGACACAGAGCAAACAGCAGTATTTTGAGATGCAAGACAGAAAATTCTAGAATTCACCCAACTCGGAGGGATGGATGACATTTAAAAACAACAACAAAACGTGTCATAGCATCCCTCAGGAAAATACTCAAGTGACACTATGATGCACAGTAATATAGAGTTGGAAAGAGATCAGTGAACACACAGGAAGCATACAGGGCCTTAAGTATCCTACATGCCGTTTTCCCCCCCCTCTCCGGGTCAAAGAAAGTCTAAATTGGCCTTTAATCCCAGCACCCAGGAAGCAGAGGCAGGCAGATCTCTGTGAGTTTGAGGGCAGCTTGGTCCATAAAGTTAGTTTCAGAACAGGCTCCAAAGCTGCACAGAGAACCTCTGTCTCAAAGAGTGTGTGTGTGTGTGTGTGTGTGTGTGTGTGTGTGTGTGTGTGTGTGTGTGTGTGTGTGTGTGTGTGAGAGAGAGAGAGAGAGAGAGAGAGAGAGAGAGAGAGAGAGAGTCCTAAATTGTGTGTTCTGGTTATCAGTAGAACTAGATTTTGGAAGCTTTCAAACTGCAGTACAACTGAGGTAGGGTTTTCATTGCTAAAAACCAGTAGTCTCCTGACGAGAAAACACTTTAAAGACATTTCAACAGAGTTAACATCCCCCACCTAGTTCCTAAGGCAGAAACTGCTTTTATTGGGATAGCTCTTCTGGTTAACTCATCAGGTGTATGTAAGCACTTCCAATAGCTGGGGGCACGGGCTGGCTCTGATAAATCCTGACTAACCCCTCCACACAGTCCACTCATTAACCACTGGTGACACAGCGCACAGGTCAATACACTAAGCCGGGAGTCTCACCATGTCCGCGGCTTTCTTGAAGTAGTGAAGTGCTGTCTCATTACTCTGAGGGACGATGTCGCTTCCTTCAGAATACATCTGGAAAACAGGCCCCAATTTCAGGTGGAGTTCTCACCCTTTCTCCAGATAGTTAGCTCTCATGGAATTACCCCACAAAGCTTAGATTCTCCACAGGAAAGTGTAGAATTTAAGGCAAACATCTACTGGCAAATACAAATTTTTAAGTATTTGGTATCCTATTAAATATATGATTTAGGTACAGATTTGAATAATAAAACAGGTTAATGACTGCCTCAAGAAATCTTGAAACTTTTTTAAACATTACATTTGCTTGTGTATGTGTGCTTGCAGGTGGCATGCATGTAATGGGGTACGTGTCTGGAGGTCTGAGGACAACCTGTTCTTCTCCATCCACACTCTGGGTCCTGGGGACTGGCTTCTTGTATGAACCATTTCACCAGCCAGGAAAAGACATCCTTAAGCCAGGACAGCCAGGTGGTGAAAAATTTGGTTGAGGCCAGATGACTGCTCCCATCAGTACAAGCAGACTGTTGAGAGTCACAATGTCTACTTTCCCCTTTCATCCACTAAGCTGCCCCAGAACAGGGTAAATGGTGCATCTGACCTAAGAGGCGGGCCGGAGAGGTAGCTCAGTTGGTAAAATGCCTGCTACAAGCATGTAGACTTAAGTTAGAACCCCAGAGTCCAAGTTCAAAGAAGCTGGGCAGGATATCATGCACATGCAGTCTCAGTGCCTGTGAGGCAGAGACAGGCAGATCCCACAGCACCAATGGACAGCTAATCTGGCCTACTTGTTAAATTACAGGTCAATGACCTGTCTCAAAAATAGGGTGTATGATGCCCAAGACTATTTTCTGGTCTCTATACAGGCACACACATGTGCATGCACACCTGCACAAACACAAAACCAAGTAACTAAGAAGTTATCTAACAAGGTATAAACACTAATGAACTACAGGATCAGGTAAGGCTTTCAAAGAAAGAAAAACAAATGGTCAACACTGCTTCTCATTCATATACTATACTGAGGAAGCAACACTAAAGGTGCTTTTAAATCTAGGATTAATTAGTAATTTAAGGAAAAAGTAAAACCGTTGGAAATAAAAAGATTTTAAATTCTTGTCAAGCAGTAGTGGTGCACACCTTTAATCCCAGCATTTGGGAGGCAAAGGCAGGAGGATCTTTGTGAGTTCAAGGTCAGTCTGGTCTACAAAGTGAGTTCTGGGACTGGCTTCATAGCTACTGAGAAACCTTGTCTTGAAAAACCAAACAACCAAACAAAAAGATTTTACATTATTAACAAAAACAGATGAAGAAGAAAAAAAAGGAAAAGAGAAAAAAAGAAAAAAGAGGAAAGAAGAAAAAAAAACAGATGAAGAAAAGAGATTCCTGTGTCACGATGCTGGAAGGCTGCTATCCTCACTGCCATAGCACCAACTCAACACAGATCATGCTGTATAACACTGGAAGGCTTGCATGAAATGCTTTAGCTCCCAGTTAGCTAGCTGTGATCATGTGGTAAGTCTCGGTGAGATTTTCCTGTCTGTAAAATCCTTAGAATCCACCTGAACTTTCCTTACCTTAGGATTTGGTCAGACACGAACAACTGTCAGTTTACAGTGTATTAATGTTTAAAAAACAATGAAAATGGAATTCCTCCCTGACACAGATCTATTCACTAGTTTTTAGATGTAAATGCTTCATTGCTCCAAAAAACTATACTGAGGGGTGATCTCACAGCTGTCATATTTAAGACAATAAAGATCTGCAAATGCTAAAAGATTCTCACTCAAGCATGAAAGGAAACAGACAAGAGTGAGCTTTAGCAAAACCCTGTGTACAATACAGCATCACAGCCCTCACCATTGCATATAACTGACACAATGTTAGGAGCTCGGACAGTGAATACACTTGGGAGCAAATGTCTAAGTTGTCTGATTCTAAGTTGTGCTTCACTCGGCATTACCTTAAGACAGGACGTGATTCACTTACACTGGAAATTTTATTTTGCTGTTACATAACATAACTGCAGGTTATACAGTACCTTTCCCAGGAAGGCCATCGCATGTGAATTGCCAGCATTTGCTGCTAAGTTGAAGTAGTCAAATGCTCTCTGTGAGAGAAGAATTTATAAAAATAATTAGTTTTTAACGGAATCTGTTTTAACCAAAACACTTATTTCAGGAACATCAGGAGAAAAAAAATCTTGTTATATTAAAGTAGCCTTAAAAACAAGAATACCCAGCTATGAGGATTTCAAGCAGACATGCATATATCTAGAAGTTTTATGACCACAAAGAAATGTCTTGTGTTTCCCAAAGCGCATAGGTAAGAGGACATCTTTATTACAGGCAATGTGAATAAGCTTTAGGCAGATAGGCTTCATTATCTACTGTTGGTATCTGGCAGAAAGGAAAAAAAACTAAGAGACATTCAGGAGGCATGGGGACTATTCTGGAACACAATTTCCTTTTGTTACCAAGAGAAAAGGTTTGGCTGTATTTGAAGTCAGATAACTAAACCCACTGGTGCTGGAAGATACTCATTATCACTCCTCTCAACTCAATGCTACCACAGCCACTTTTGTTGAGGTTCTTACACCGCTGGTTTTATTCTTCACTCCTGCTGATTATTACTCTCTTCCCTTTCTAATCTTTTTCCATTCAAGTACATTCTCCTAATGTATAAAAAGTCTACCAAAAAATACAAGACGCATCTTTTCTTCAGAATTTCAGCTTCTCTTCAATGGGACTGACACCCATTAGCTCCTTAATTCTGGTGCAGTTTCCTCAGTGAATCCTCTACAGGACTCCACTCCATTCTACACGCTTGAGCGGCTTCCATCAACTACTTCAGAGGAAGCTCTTAAGCTACCAATAGCCTCATGGCAAGCAGAAGTCTCTCCTCTCACTTGCTTCTCTGTGGCAATGATGGAGTCCATCTTGTATGTGTAGCTTGGCTTCACATGCACCCTTTCTTGACTTCCGTATCCTGTCTGTACCTGCATCATTCACAGCTAGTTCTTACTCTATCATCTGCCTTCTATCCTTACAGTTCTTCAAGGTGCAACTGAGAAGGTCATTCTCTTGTATGTTCTTTAAGCAGCCTTATGTCCTCCATGGCTTCACATGTCATCTAGATGCTGGCAACTTCTAAATTTATATTTAACAGAGCTAAATAATGCAATCGTGGAACTCACAAAGTGTATGCTAAATCTATCCACTCACTGCCTGTACCATGGTTCTAGTACAGATTATATGTTCTTTCATATGAAGCTCTGGAATACTGTCCTCTTTGATTTCCCTGACTGACTGTATTTTGGGATTTTACTAACTCATTCTGCACATGGCAGCAAGAGTCAACGCTTTCAAATCTGCATGTACTGGTTCTAAGAGTCCCCTGAGTGCAGAGGTTAAGCTGACATGAGCAGGCGCCATCTGTCCCAGAATTACATTACGTCCTATGATGTCAGCACCGTGGGCATACCAACCCTGCTCCCTTCTGTCCCAGGGCCTGTGCACACAGTGTTCCTTTTTGCCCTGGAATGGCTCTACCTTTCAACATGCCATCTTCTCTTCCCTAAAGAAGTCTTCCCTGACAGCTGGTTGCTCCCCTCCCTTACTTATTATAGCCCTTGATTCTGTTTCGAAACAGCAACTACACCTTTAAATGCTTGCTGTTTGTTGATGTAGTCATTTAAAAAGTAACTAATATTCCATTGGACTTGAAACTCCAATAAGGGCAGTCACCAAAGCTTACTGTCCAGTACTGTAGGAACTAAAATGTTTGCTGAATGAATGCGAACATGTGCTGGAAAATCCTTTTTTTTTTCTTTTGTGAAGCTGGTGAAACATCCTCCTGTTGTATAACTGCTTTACAGGTAAGCAGCACACGGTACAAGCACGTCCCCAGCTCTTGCTATGCAAGAACCCTGGGGCAAACTGCTCTTATTATTTTTGTTAAGAAGCAGCATATAGCATACATTTTATGACCATGAGACAATGACAGCTACAAAAAGCTGCCCAATTAAAGAAAACCCACAGGCGTTTGGTATAGTTAGTGTGTTTTTGTGACAATTCTTTTTTTTTTTTTGAAGATTTACTTATTATGAGTTCAATATTCTGTCTGCACACCAGAAGAGGGCACCAGATCTCATTATGGATGGCTGTGAGTCACCATGTGGTTGCTGGAAATTGAACTCAGGACCTTGGGAAGAGCAGCCAGGGATCTTAACCTCCGAGCCATATCTCCACTCCAAAAATTTAATTCTTAAAGTTGAAATAACTTTACTTGACGTAGTTAACTGGTATGACAGCAAAATAATAGTTTTATGGGTTCTTCAAATACTTGTGGAGAACTTACTATGTGCTAGGCTCTGCTGGGGGCTGGAATAAAGTGGTAGACAAGGCAGACATGACTGTGCTCTCTTGTCCTTAGGATGTAGCAGAGGAAAAAGTTATAAATCAAGCAATTTGCTTCGGACAAGGACCACAAAGATCACATATTTTTCAGGCATCCTTTGTCATATGTGACCTTCTCTGGAGTGGGGATGAGGCTTAAGGGAGACATTATAGATTAGTATTGAGTTCTGGAGGACAGATAGGAATTACTATATGAGCAAGGTAGCTGGGGTGATAGTCACTGAAGTCATTAGAAAGACAGGCTCTCGATAGGTTCAAAGACCTTAGAAAATTCTATGTGCTGTGACTTAGCAAGGGCTGGAGGGGTACAGAGGCTGGAATGAAGTCTTGGAGGTCATGGTAAAGGGAGAATTTTTCAGCTACCACAGAGCACTGAAGTTTTAGGTGTACCACAGGATCAGATGCTGGAGTTACAGAAACAAGACAGATACCTAGAAATATGAGTGACAGGTACAATAATGGAGAGAGGAAAGAGATGAGTCATAGGACGGAAAGCAGGTAAAACTTGGTAACTATTGATCCGACTGGAATAGTTATAATCTTCTGATTTCTAAAATATAACACCTTCCTCTGCCCTATATTCTTTAAAATGTATCCTTTTTATGGTTTACTTTTTGCTCTTTGATAAAAATTGTTTTTTAATTTTGAGTGTGTGTGTGTGTCTGAGAGTGGTATGTGTACCTGAGTACGGGTACCTGCAGGGCCCTGGAATTGGAGTTATAGGCAACTCTAAACTGTGGACATGGATGCTGGGAACAGAACTCAAGTTATCTGTAAGAGCAGCAGGTACTCTTAGCTGCTGGGTCATCTCTCCAGATCCAAATGGTGTCTAAGACTTACTATATTATATCCTTAAGAAAAAAGAAATCAGGATGTATACACATCCTGTGTGTTTTGGGTAGTGCTAAGAGCTAAGTTTAAGAGTGATAAAATCTGGGGCTAGACAGACAGCTCAGCAGTTGAGAGCACACGCTGCATTCTTCCACAGGACCCGAGTACAGTGTCCAGCGGCCATACTTCCACCTGCAACTCCTTTGCAGGCATCTGCACTGGCACCTGCACACACAGGGCACACAGAAACACGCGTGCACAGGCAACTGCACACACAGGGCACACACACAGAAACACGTGTGTACAGGCACCTGCACACACATGGCATACAGAAACACATGTGCACAGGCACCTGCACACATAGGGCACACAGAAACACGTGTGCACAGGCACCTGCACACACAGGGCATACAGAAACACGTGTGCTCAGGCACATGCACACACAGGGCACACACACAGAAACACGCGTACACAGGCACATGCACACACATGGCACACAGAAACATGCGTGCACAGGCACATGCACATAGGATAAAAGCAAGGCCCTTCTGAGGTCTATTCACCTGTTTATCAGCCATCAGGTAGGTCTTGAGAACTCACTTGTGACACATGTTTAAATGAGCCCGACCAGAAAAAACATCCACACAGCACCATTTTTGGCTACAATATGAACAAAGTCCTGCAATAGGGTGGTTACCTGGTGATTCTGTTCTACTCCACGCCCTCCATGCAGATGCAGTTGTCCCAGACCAACCTGAAAAGCAACAAAAATGATGTAAACATGAAGTGAGCATCTGGCATACAATTAAAATCAGACCAACAGTTGGCTGAGAAAAGGCTCTGTTTATTAGTCAAAAGAGGAGAAGCCTAGTCTTTAACCCTAAGTATTTATTTTGTTTTAATTATCCTAAAATTGCCAAGAGCTAAAAAGGCATGCTTTAAAATCAACAAAATAAACAGCACTCTTTTGTCTACACACGCAGTGTTTGTGAGTGACGGATGTTCACATGTAAGGGTGCAGGTGTGCATGTCTACACACGCAGTGTTTGAGAGTGATGGGTGTTCACACGCATGTAAGGGCGCAGGTGTGCATGTGTATGCAGGTAGAGGCCTGTGGTTGATGTCAGCATTCTTCCTCAACTGCTCTCCATCTTCTTCATGGAGGCAGGTTCTCTCAACTGAACCCACAAATCATCAACAAGATCATGCCAGTCAGGCAGCTTGCTCTGGGGGTCCTGTTGCTGCCTTCTGAGTGTTAGACCTGCAGGCAGGAACCACACCCACCTGGCAGTTATGGGGTTCTGGGCATATGAACTCTGGTCCTCACACTTGATCAGCAAGTACTTAATCTATCGAGTCATCACCCTGGTTCTGCAAAGGTTTTGGGTGAATTATGGTGACCTCAGTGAACATGCTCCAAAGGAAATACTAAAGGATGCTCTAAGCCAACGATGAGAATCTTTGAAGAAGCTTAGGCATGAAGAAATAAAAACAAAAGACAATCTAAATAAATATAAACTAGTATGTGCTGTATAAAAGAAAAACATGAGGTTCACAAAACCATGTGGAATTCAATCATGCTCAGTATTTTTCTAAGGTCTCCGTGTTGTCCTGGGAATGGTAATGTGCTTATCCACTGGACTACAGAGGCAGAGCTGTGTAGCCATCTCTAGGTAACACAAAGAAGGCCCAACTGTTCTGATCATGGAGGAGGAGAGACATCAGCAGCAAGCGCCATAACAAGGTCAGGAAAGCCGAGGAAAGGGAATGTAGAAAAGCGAGGTAAAGGAAGAGTAGAGAGAACATTCAAACCAACAATACACCCCAGAGCGAAAGGAAGACTTGAAATGGACAAGACAGTTGCGTCTGACTTCCACGAGTAACATTCAGGTCTACTGTTCACAACAGTTTTAACTTAAGACTTCCTTCTGTGAGCCTTAAAACCATTCTTAGTACTCATTACTTATTTTGCATATATCTCAAAAATGCTGTTGTTTTAGTAGGAAAAAAGGTGTTGAGAGCGTGGGATGTTGCTTTTCTAAAGGATCCACTGGGGATTCTAGAACAAAGCTAATAGTTACTCAGAGCAGAGACAATGTTACTTACAGATGTGGGTGCTCACCCCTCCCTCCTGTTAAGTAGACAACGCAGTGAGAAGTTCCCTGATGCTGACACACACCTGTGCTTGTACGTCACCCTTCTCAGCCAGGAACTGGTAATACTGAATCAAATCCTCTTCCAGCATCCCACTGTTCATCCCTGGGTTTTCCACTTCATCAGGCAGCCGTATTCTCTGGACTACTGAGCCTCCGGTCAGGGAGATATCGCTAGCAACTAACAGAGGATGACGAATAGGAATGTGAGGTAAAGTCAGAGGAGAGGGTCCCTAGCTATAGGAAGCAGATGTTGACAGACATGGAGCTAATGGTACTATTTCTGTAGTAGTCTACAGGTGACCACATAATAATCCATTAACAAATCAGACTCCCACTCAAAACATTTAAGAACAAAATGTGAAAAGAATGGCTTTCTTGATTAAGCACACTTGGAAGAGTCATTTGCAATATTTGAACTACTGTAACCAATATATGTATTTAAAATTAATTGCATGTTTTTTCTAGAGGGGGAAAGAGAAAAATAAAATAGGTACCATGGTTGGCAACAAGACGATAATGGGTCAGTGCCGACTCACAACTCTGGAGGACTCCGATGCCAGCCCAGTACCGGTAACCCTGTAAGACACCTTCAGGTGAGAAGACAACAGCGCCACAGGGTTCTGCGGTATTCTTCTTATGACGTACAAAGCCAACCACACTCGGGATATAATTCTGCGGTCCTTGGATCCACACACTCCAAAGAGCAGTTCATAGCTAAGCATGAGACAAGAATATTCCTACAGCAACCACGTGAGCGCCATGAACTTTACGAATGAAGCCTAGACATAGTGCTCACTGGTTTTCCACTCAGAACCAGTATCAACCTTATTTTAGGCACAATCTTAACAAGAATGAGGTGGTCTCACAAATGACACACAGCACTGGGAGAGGGGTCTGGGCTATGCGGAACACGAAGCAGGAAGGAGCTGCCTGGAATCGGCCTGCACGGACTCAAACGTCCTAAGCTTCGGCAGTCCTCGGCGTACTACTCCACAGTCACATGCACACCATGGTCTCATTCTACAGCCACTGCCTAAGAAAGCTGGCAACTGAAAGTATTTCATATAGGTTTGCCACACAAAATTGTCTCTCATTCTAAAAAACTGATCTGAGCCAGGTGTGGTAGCAAAGGCAGGAGGATCTCTGTGAGTTTACAACTAGCCTGGTCTATAAAGAGTTCCAGGCCAGACAGGGCTACATGCTGAGACCTCTGTCTCAAAACTACAGCAATACCACCAAAAAACTGTGTAAAGGTGGTTTTCAGTGACTCTCTGAGATACGTTACCACAGAGTAAACAAAGACAACATTGAAATCAGAGAGTAGAGAGATGCTTAGAAAGACCATTTCCACTTACTTCAATTCCTTCGGTAGCTGAGCGCCAGGACAGGGCAGAGTCCAAGCTCCTGGGCACGACTGAGCTATTTTTGCTGGATTCCTATCTGGCCTGCTTATCAACTCCCAGCATGCTACTCTTTAGGCTCTCTGTCTCCTACATATCTAATTTGATCTTAACAATGGCTCAATAGTTAGTTTTGTAATTATCTATGATTTACCAAGCTGGCTGGAAAGCTCTACTATCCTTGTCTGTCCTGTCAGTAACCAGACCTGGAGAGCCTTTCCCAGTGCTAGACTGGTTTCCTGCTTTAAGTTTCACGTCCACTCAGTTCAGTCTTTACATTCTGGCAACAAGGCACTTACACTCATTTAAGACACAGAATCTATCACGAACCACAGGTTATGAGGCCTATCTCAAACTGAATACATAAGAAACTTTAGCCCCTTAGCCCAAAAAGAAAACTGGTGGACAGATTCTTTATCACTAAGTGATGTACGGGATTATTGTTATCAGCTTATACACAGATGCTTATAAGTGTCCTTTAAAGGACAGTTTCCTTCAATTTAAACACAAAATCTCTGACAATCCAACCCAAAAAATAATTCTGATAAACAATTCCAATTTATATAAACTTTTATCCATGTGTTCAATGTGTTATAGTCATTAACAAGAATCTGTTGAATGTTTACCTGAGGATTTGACTGGAAGCAAATCTCAGTCAGAAAGATTGGGAAATGTATGGCAACTGCACACACAGATTTTACCTTTTGATGTAAATTGTCTTAGGTTAAAGTTCACACTTACCAAAACCATATGGGCTATCAGATTGCCTCCAAGGGCTCCAAAAGTATAATATACAAGAGCCTATGAAAAAGCAGATACGTAAATGAACACAGGCCAGTGCTTATTCAATTCCAAATTGAATACACAGTAAGATTTCAATAATGTTACCTTTGCCTGACTTGAATTAACACCGAGTCCAGAGGCGTAGAGAAAGCCAAGAGCCTGAGGTAAAATGAAGAAAAGCAAGTATTTTTATTTGGTGAGGATGCATCAGTTTTACACAAAGAGTCAAGAATCTTTAAATACGAGGATCTGAGTGCAGCTATGCATGATGGCTCAGTTAAAGCGTCAGAGCAATACATACAGCCTTCTACAAACCACATAGCTAAGTGCAACTTTATTTAAGCAAGTCATCAAGTTTAGTTAGAAGGTTAGCGGAAAGTTAAGAAGGTATTAACTCTTTCTTTCTCTGCAGGAGGACTGAAAAAGGACAAAAGTGCCCAAGATAAGCAATCTTAGGAATGAAGAGACACCAAGTGATCAAGGAAGATGGTCACTTCACAAAACATGAATTCCTAAAGAAGCCACCACCAAATGACACACTGATGGGCTCTGCCTTCTCTTCTGTGCATCGTCCTGATGACCCACAAGTGAGAAGGGCAGAGTGGCAGTGTCTGGGAGGCTCGTCCACATTTCAGCCTCCCTCGCAGGCATGTAAGACAATGATCCTAGATATGGCTGCAGAGGATGTCAACTGATGCCCAGGAGTCACCGTTTGCAAGAAGGCAATCCGGGAAGAAGGGCTCAATCTAATCTGGCAGGGCAAGGAGTACTCATCTGGGGGCTCTGCTCACTGTATCACCTAAACTTGATTACCACAGAGAGAGTGCCTGCTGGGGTATGAATGCAGTGACACTGCAGAGGTGGATGACTCTATAGAAATGCTGCTTTAAAGCCATCTGAAGATAATGTATGTGTAGATACAGTAACACATGCTGATGTAATCAAGAGGGGAAAAAGCTTCAGAAACATAGGACAGCATCTGTTTCTAACTAAAATGAGATGAAGAAAGAGCAGCAGAGTCATTAAATGTTCATAGAAAATAATGGATATGAGCCTGTTTATCATAAAGCCTCAAGAGGACTGTCTCTCACGTAATAATTCTACTATGGTTAGGGGAAACAGGCATTGTTGCAGAAATGATAAGCTAGAGGAAAATCTATCTTTTAATTTCACAAATATGCACATATTCCAACAATGCATTTTTAAGCATAGCTCATATTTTGATTAAACCTGAATTACCAAGTGCAGTTTAAATAAACAGGATGGCTAACTTAAATATGTATGTATGTATGTATGATGCATGCATGTGTATGGGTGCTTTGCCTGAATGTATATCTATGTATCATGTGAGTACAATACTCTTACAGGCCAAGAGAGGTTGTTGGCTCTTCTAGAACAGGAGTTACGGTTGTGAGCCACCTGGTGTGTGCTTGGAATTGAATCCTGGTTCTCTGGACAAGCAGGTAGTGCTCTTAACAATTAAGCCATCTCCCCAATGCCATCACATGGCCTCTTAAACCGAGGCACCAATCTTTGCATTCTTTACATTATCAATTGATACTGTAACCAAGATGTGTTATTAATGCACATAGTACAATGTGGTACTGAAATTCACCTATAATGTAGCCTAGCTGAAAGCAGTCACTTACATTTATTAGCCTTTAGCTGTGGTACTTGGCTCATAGGAAATATAGCTAACAGAAAAATTAACAAATAGATGCTGTGATGAGGACAAATGTAGGCAGGGCATTCTATAGACAAACTGCATCTACTTCTAATACAGAAACAAACCAATCACCCAACCAAGCAATCAAAGGGCTATGTTGTAAATAACAACCAAAATGTAATGCTGTGATGGACATTTGTCTTGACAAAAATAAGGATAAAATTTTTTGAGCTCAGTGCTGTAACAATATATTATGTGTAAATATAAGCTGGAAGGACAGAGAGAGTGTGTGTGCTTGTGTGTGGTGTAATACTAGCAGATTGGATCTAGGGCCTAGTACATGCTAGGCAAATGCTTTCTTGGCTCTATCCCTAGTCCTAAAACATTTTATTTGACTTTTTAAAAAAGATATCAATATTGAGCGGGAGAGATGGATGGATTAGCTGTTAGGTATGCCTAATATTCTATCACAGGGACCAGAGTTCAGACCCATGTGAGGTGGCTGACAATACCATCTCCTGGCCTTCTAGAAAAGCCATAACACACACGCACGCACGCACGCACGCACACGTATGTGCTCGTAAACTAACACACACACACACACAGGTTAAAAAAGATCGAGGTTGGGGCTGGAGAGATGGCTCAGTGGTTAAAAGCACTGACTGTTCTTCCAGAGGTCCTGAGTTCAATTTCCGATAACCATAAGGTGGCTCACAACCACCTTGAATGAGATATGGTGCCCTCTGCTGGCATGTAGGCAGAAGACAGTATACATAATAAATAGATAAAACATTAAAAAAAAAGATCGAGGTTAATGTTGGAGGAAAACACTATGGGGAATAGTTTCAGATAAACCAGAATTGCTGCTCTATGGGATTGCTCTTTATATTTCACTTTATATTTAATACTGCAAAATGACAAAAGAAACTGTGGTAAGACGGAGCTATAAAATTACCTTCAATGACAATAAATTTCTTAGATAAAGGAAAATAAGTATCCAAGAAAATAAGTAAAATGGTCTGTCAAAAAATTAGTATTTAGATATATGTTGTCACCCAGTCTTCTGTTGTTGAACAAATTGCTATCAGAATTAACTGCTGAGTATTGGAGAGAGAGACAGGAAGGATGGCTTAGCAATTAAGAGCATGTGTTGTTCTTTCAGAGGACCTGAGTTCAATTCTCAACATTCATGTCACTTGGCTCCTGCACTCATACACATAGATACACACACATTCACATTTTATTAAAATGTTAAAATAAATTCAAAAGAGGTGCGGGCTGGAGAGATGGCTCAGTGCTTAAGAGCACTGGCTGCCCTTCCAGAAGACCTGGGATTGATTCTCGAATGCACATGGTGGCTCATAACCATCTGTAGCTCTATTTTCAGGGGACTGGACATCCTCTTCTGACCTCCGTGAGCACCAGGCACACAAGTGGTGCACAGACATACGTGCAGGCACATAAATAACAACACCCACAGACAAACAAACAGACCCCCAACAGAAACAAAGTGCTACATGCAGAGGTTCTCCAGAAGCTGCACTTACAGTTTGTCCTTTGGGAGAACCTTCCTCGGTCAGTTTCTCAAACATCTCTTTAGCCGCATGGATATTCTGTGTGAGGTAATCACCAAATAAGAGAGCGTAGGATACTCTCTCCAGGGCTTTGGTGTGATTCATGCCTGCTGCCTTTTGAAGATACCGATATGCTCTTTAAACAGAAGCAATTAGACAGAAAGTCAGCTGTGTTTTCAGAAGTCATTGAAAGATTTTTCATTACTAAAATGTATCAACATTTTCTTATTTTATAATAAAAAATTCCTATGCATTACTCCTACTATATAATGCTATTTATATAACATAGAAAACATCCTGGATAGTTTGATTCAGCTAAGGGGCCAGTTTTCCATATGTCTACTATCTTGAAATTACCTAAATTACCTAATTACACTAACAATCAGGCTCACAAGATTTGCAATGGAAAATTATAATGATGTCAGATAAATATTCAAAGAACTCAAAATTTTCTAACTCTATGCATAGACTAACAAAACTAGCAGGAATCAAACAGACATAAGATGTTAGAATTCTTTTGGCGTATTATGTTCTAGGTGAAACTTTCAAAGCAAAACAAAACGGAAAAAAACATCAACACAATTGGTGACAATTCCTTTTGTTTGTTTCATGTCATTTTTGAATCCAGAATAGGGTATTCATTCTTCATTCCTAGAACTGACTACAACTTTAATCTACTATTGCCATTCTTCTCATTGATCAATCAGCTTTATGATCAATATGTACAATGTTTTCATCCTAATAAGTTAAAAGTCTACCCAAAACACACTAAGGGTTCCTGCAGCAGTACTTAAGAAGTCGTGTGTGCCTCTGGCCACAGGATCTTAAGAGAAAGCACCCAGTGAGGGCCTGTGCTGGGGCGAGCGGGCTAGTCAGTGCTACCTACTCTCTCTTTTGGCTCTTTCTGTTGCTCCCATTCAGTATCTTCATCCCAGCCTGGTAAATCATTTCTGCTTCCTGCATCTGCCGTCTTTTTGCAGCATCTTCTTCAGCTGACAATAAAATAACACACACATTAAATGAATTTCATTTATCTGGTACCAAGCTCACTCATTGTTTCAGGTAGGAACACACACAGAAAGAAGGATCTTTCACTATTTCCAAACTTGACTCTAAAAACAGCTGAAGTGTGCCCTGTACTAACAAAGACTTTTCCAAAACACAAAGTCACTCTCTTTTAGAGACAGCAAGACCAGGCTTCTTTTGAGCATATTTTTGTGTTGGCGATAATGACTTTTAAAAATACAATTAAACTAAAACTTCCCATTAAGTGTTAAGTTCATCTAAAATAATAATAAAAAGCTAACAGAGAAGAATAGGCAGAAACTGCCCTAACATTCAAAGTCACATGTATATTTACAAAATTATTTAATTATATAGCTAAAATCTTAAAACTTGATTTTTATCAAACAGATCTAATTTAGTGTGCAATGTTCAAGTTTCTTTTTCTTTCTTCTTTTTCTGAATAGGGTTTTTTTTTTTTATAGCTCAGGTTGCCTTTAGTCTCTCTATGACACCAAGGATGTTCTTGAACTTTTGATCCTGCTCTTGAGAGTGCTAGGATTAAGGCATGTGTCACCACACCCAGTGTATGTGGTGCTGGGGACCAATCCCAGGGTGGTATGACAAGCAAGCACTCTATCAATCAAGCTATATCTCCAGTCCAGCTCATTACTTTTTCATACTCAAAATCATAGAATAGTTGTGGGTTTAAAAAAAAACACTATTTTGCTACTTTAATGCAACATTTAAAACAGAATACAGAACTCATTCTAAGACAATAAGAAGTGCATTCTTTTTGTGATAAAGAAAGAGCTGACATGTTAAACTAGTCAAGCCGGCCTGCATCTGAAGGTGGCCCACATCTGATGCTGTCTTTTAAGGATGCTCAGGAGTCTACAGCCACGATATTAGAAATGGTATCTGGCTGCTGTCTCCAAAACACAGTTTTTCCAGCAGAGGGCAGCGTTTACCCACAGGGTTGTTAACTATACTACACAAGTGCATATTTCACTCAAAGCCTTGAAAGACAGTATTTTTTTGGTTTTCTTCTAATCACCTTTAACATTTGCTGTCACAATCAGCTTCCATTATTAACGAATTATTTTGTTTTGTATTAATTAGTTCAATAGCTTGCCTCAAGGATTTATAGAACCACCTGTGAATCAAGGAGACTTAAGTGTGAAAGGCTGAGCGATAGCTTGAAATTAGTATGTTACATGCTCACAGCGCTTAAGCTGTCCTTTAAGGCTGTGACCATGTCACCAACACTGCCCTATGTGGAAAAGGACAGCTAGAGAGTGCCTCCTGAACGCTGCCCTAGACACGGAGCCCCCAAGGTGAGCAATACGCACTTTCGCAGAAGCCCCACTTCTCATCTGTCTTGTAGTCATAGGTTGTGGCACACCACAGCCTGCCGTCTTGCCTCCCGTCTGACGTGCACTCGTCATACTCCTTATCCAGGAAAAGGAAAGGGAAGTGGCAGGGCTCTCCGTGCGCCGTACCCTCAATGGCGGTCAAAACTGGAAAAATGAAACGAAACATAAAAACAAGTCTAAATATGAACACCTTGGAGGTGGATGGATTCAACAATGTCAAACTTCAGCTATCAAAATCTGAATGCAAAGAGATAGACATGCTGCAGCATTTGTAATGGGAGTCAGAGCCGATTTGATCGGAGATGACTTGAGGTCAAGTCTACTTAGTGAGCCTGGCTGACTACTCACATGCATCTAGCTTAGACTTTGAGTTCTCAAGATAAAAGAGCAGGGTGTTCAAAGTCTACTAGGAAACTGCCTAAAGTTTGAGACTGGCCCAGGCTACAGAGTCTCAAAAAACAAAGCAAAACAAATCTAAGTAAAACAAAAAGCCCAACCAGAGAACTCCCCAAACGCCTGTCTAAGGAGTGAACAAAAACCAAGGCAGACATGAAGGAATTGTCTCTACTGCTAGGATCATTTTCCTTTTTTTTTTTTTTCCTGAATGGAATACGGCAATTTCAACTATCTAAAGTTATACTAGGAAAATTTCCCAGGCAAAATTAATCATTCATATACTACTCTGTGAAGCACTTTGTTAGAATATTAGAGTACAGAATTTTATTAGAGTACTCATCATATGTACTGGGGGTTTAATTACTATTATTTTTCCACACTGTAGCTCCTACTAGACTATTTATATGGCCCCTGTCATGTCAGATAATAAGTTCAATAACTGAGCTGCTATTTACTGCTGACACCCTTCCTCTGAAAGGCTAGGTTGTCCTTTGTTTTTAGTTTAAACAAAAGACACATTAAGATATGAATTTTAAAAACACTTGCAGTAATCTGGGAGAAACAAATGTTTCAAATGGTTGCATCAGGTAGATGACACTCGTCCTGTAGCAGCAAGTGATGTAAGTTTACCTCCTGCAAGAGCTGCTGTTCTTGCTGGTCAGTCAGCAGCTCCAAGTGTGCCCAGGGCTGTGCGACAAAAGGGGAATCTAACAAGTACTGCTACCATGCATGTTTGCATGTAAAGGGGCATGTACCTGCCCAGATTGTTCACGTGGCTCTAACTCGCTGGTTCTCAGCCTGTGCGTCACAACCCACTGAAGGGGTCCATTGGACCCACTGTGGTTGTGTATCAGAGATCCTGCACATCAGATATGCAGGATACATTATGATTCAAAACAGTAGAAAACTTAGTTATGAAGTAGCAACAAAACTGATTTCATGGCTGCGGTCACCACAACATGAGGAAATGTACTAAAGGGTCACAGCATTAGGAAGGTTGAGAACCACACTTCTAACATCCTTTTTTCTATCAAGTATAAGAATAATAAAAGCCAATAACTTGCCTCTAAAATAAAGGAGTTCTATGGTCATGGAAAGCTGGAATATTTCAGATTCAATATCAAGGTTATCCTTAGTCTTATATGGAGTCCTTTATCATTCACTCATGTCTGACATAATATCCTTTGGATTATTATATAAAACCTTTGGCATACATAAACTTAGCAAACCATTACCTTCCACCAACTTAAAGGCTACAAATGTTACCAGATAACATCTGAACCTGTAACAGTTTTCCTCATTTTGTTTTAACTCTCCTAACCTGATATCACCCCATATTTACCATCATTTGGTTACAATAACTTGTCGTTTTCTTTTGTGACTGTAAAACTTTATGTGGTTGCTTCTACATTGGAACAACCAATGCTTCCAGGCCCTGGCTCAGGGTAAATGTTCTCATTCCCTCTGGAGGGAGAGTAATGCTGTGGGTCAACAGCAACATAATCCTTTCCATCAAAGCTGGGGTGTGCTGGAAGCCACTGCCTGAGTCTTTAGTCCCCCACTAGGTGAAGGGTTCTTCTCTGTCTTCCCCAGAGCAACAAAGTAGAAACACCTTTGTAACCCAGCAACTCGCTTTCTCTGAACTTGTTTGTGCCTGCTGAATAGATCAAGATGCTGGTTATTCCACTAAATTATTATTTTTCTATTTTTTATTTTACCATAAGGAAAATGTGTTTTTTTAATATGACATAATCAAAACAACTGGACAGTATACAAATGTGAAGAAAAAACCCAATTATCTTTGCCTACCACTTAATTCTTTTTCTTCAGTTAATGAGGCTTTGTAGAAATTTTGACCTTTTCCTTTATATTTGCAAGCATGAAAAAACAACGGCTCCCCTGCTCCCCTCATCCATGTGACTCACATGTTTGTATAAATGTGGTTTGTGCTCAACACCTGTTTTCCTCTTGGGAGTCCATAGTTTTGGCACATGCTAGGGCAAGGTGAATAAATGGCTAGTTCCTAGTCAAAACACTAGTCTCTCATGAGCTTCCCTGCTGGCTGTGCCTCAGGTGCTACCCCACTGTGCTCTGTGTATGGGAGGGAGCCAGAGGTGTCAAGTGGATCCTATATGCAAATGGAGCCCTGGGGATTTAGGCAAGAAGAATTTTTCAGTTCCAACTCCCCAGAGCAAGTATCATATAGAGTATAAATGACTGGTTCCAAAACCCTGGCCCAGCTGCCCAGGATAAAAGACTTCGCTTCAGGTTCAAACAACTGTGGGGCACTGGCTAATCTACATGTGCGCACTGGCCGGCTTTTGTTTCACCTTTTCTGTAACTTGCAACATCGTTTAGGTACTGGCTGATTGAGAATTTCTCTCTTCCCAGTTTTGGCCAAAACTGTAAACAAATTAAATTTTATGTTTATGTCTGTCCATCTGTCTCTCCAGTTCACCTTTAGAGAGAGCGTGTGTGTGTGTGTGTGTGTGTGTGTGTGTGTGTGTGTGTGTGTGTGTTTGTGTTGCACATGAGCCTAAGGAGACCAGGAGGAAGCTGGAATTACAAGCATCTGGGAGCTGCCTGACAGATGCTGGTCAGACCGTCTGTGAGAGCACAATCTGCTCCTAACTGCCAAGCTCAGCACAAGCTGGGGCTCTGGTGATGCTAACCCTCCTGGGAGAGGCCCTCAGGCGGTGTCTACTTTCCTCTACTTGGCTACATGCACCCTTTCCCTTCACTGATTTTGCTTTGATTCCTTTTGTTGTATAAGTGCTGCTTAAGCATTGATTCCTTCTAGGACATCACCAAATAGTCTTGGATACCTCCATTCTTGACCTCTCACTTATGACTTTATAAATGCTAGAGGTATCACCGTGGTCAAGAGAAACTGAAGAAAGAATATGTTATGAGACACAACTTCCTTGGTTTTTCCCAGCAGCATGGGCTGAACTTTAAACCCCGAGACTGGTAACAAGTGTCAGTAGCTGACTGTTTGTTATGGAAGATGTGTAAGGGGGAAACGAAGGAAAAGAGGTGGTCTACAGATGGAGATATTGTTTAGGACTTTAAAAGTCAGGTTTTGTTTGCTAATTCACGCTTGCGAAAGCTGAAGTCTGATCCCTCTCTCCCTCCCTCCCTCCTTGGTGACAGGGTCTCACTTCATAGCCAGGGTTGGCCTGGAGCTCACTATAGAGACCAGGCCTGCCTCTGCCTTCAGAGGGCTGGGATTAAAAGCCCCTGTCACCAGGGAGGCAAAGTCTGATTTCTTACAGGGCGGATGCTTTTCCAGTTTGAATGTATCGTGAGTCTTCAGTTAAGATTCTAAAGATTGACTAGACAAAAAGGGCTCAGGAAAGCCTGGCTTATTCAATTCCCTGGCCTTGAAGCACCTTGCTGCTGATGCTGCTAACACTTGGTTTCTTTTGAGCCCTGAGTTTAGAGGCCTTGATTGCCTGGACTTGATTCTGAGCCAGAAGTCAATACTGCCCAGACAGGCTTTCAGCCCCAGTGGGAGCCGTGCTCTTTTGCAGCAGGAATGAGCTCAATGAAGAGCATTGAGGCTCCTGCAGACTCGCACATTTAGGACACTGCGTAGGGGCCCCGCAGTTGTGAAAAAGCCCCATTTTGGGGGGCTGGCTGGCCTGAATGGCAACATTCACATGCTCACAGGGAAGGCTCAGTGGGTGCTGGGACCCCTGAAATCCAGTTGCTGACTGGCTGGCCACTTCTGATACAGACAGCACTGTGATTGCGATTATCACTCAAAGCTACAAGTTTGGAGACAGCACACTACAGAGACCATGATCACCTGCTCACGCCAGGCAGGCCAACCAGTTCCTGCAGAGCAAGCCTCACTGCTGCTGACTCTGTGATTCTCTCCCCATCAGCTGCAGTGTGCAGCAATGGACTGATGACCCCTTCCTGTTCCACACAGCTCGCCTCTGAATGGACTGACACATGACCAATGATCAAGATGAAAGCAAGAGAACACATGAATTTATTTTCAGTGTTTGGAAATTCAGGATTTTGCTGTGTTCAGTTTCTGAACACTATGTCCTCCTGTGGAGTCACACAAAAATGTTTTTCTGTGGCCTGTTCTGTGCCTCTTCCATATGATCCCTCTAAACAAATGCTATAGATGAAACTAGGGAATAGCTGGGGGAAAAAGGTACGCTTATGATTTCTGAAGGGAATCACTGATTTTCTAACAACCCAGCAAAATAAACTGGAACTCCTGAGTAGGAAGACTGTGAAAAGCCACCATGAGAGAAGGTCACAGTGTACCACTTAATGCTAGAACAGTCCACTGTCAGCTCTTTGGCTCCATGGCTCTCATGTGTATTATATGGGATCATAACACTACCTGAACTCTGGAAGGTTGTTGGGTCTACTTCAACCTACCAGACATAGTAAAACTGGGTCAGTATTGATGCGTTGGGCCAGGTTAAAAAGCAAAAATGTTAACATGGAAACTCACCGAGGAAGCTACCTGCCTTTCTAACAGGTCTATTACATGTAGTAGGATTTGCTGTAACTCACCAGAACAGGGCTCCCAGAACAGGGCAGGAGTGTGGCCTCACCATCCCCGGGTCTTATTGATAACACCTCACATCTACAGACGCTTTGGGCCAATGACCACAGAGGCAAAGACTGAACTGAGAAGAATTAACGTATCAGTCTAAATTCTATCCTTGAAAAGGTCTGCTGACAGGGATTGCCCTTAGCTGGCATGTGTGGAATTATTGATTTCTGATGAGATCCTACCAGCTGCCTCAGAGTGGCCCACTCAGACTATACAAACAGCATGACTCATACTGAACACTTGCATTCTCCCCGCCTGCCCCAAATTTTGGTATGTGCTAGGTACAGAGTTGCCACATTGCCAGCTTCCAGAAAAGAACTTCAGGTGCTCTGTCAGCCCCAGCCTAAGGTACTGGGACTCTAATGTTTGTTATGTGTTACTATAACTCATTGCTGGAGAGTTAAGTGCACCTGGTGTGACATTCCTGGGAGAGGACCCTCGGAAGCTCCCCCAGACTTCATGCATTTCTTCTTTCACTGATTTTTGTTTGCATTTCAAAATTAAAATTAATTAATCAGGGGAAGAGGCACATGCATGCCACAGTGAGAGAGAGAGAGAGAGAGAGAGAGAGAGAGAGAGAGAGAGAGAGAGAGAGAGAGAGAGAGAGAGAGAGAGAGAGAGCGTGTTTAAGAGACCAGTCAATTTTTCTCTTTCCACCATGTGGGTTGAATTCAGGTTGTCAGGCTTGGCAGCAAGTGCCTGCACCTGCTGAGCTACCTTGCTGGACGTGTGCATGCGTGTGTGCAGTTGTATAAAATCAGTTTATTAGAGTATAGTTATGAATACAACTACATGCTAAGTCCTTAGATTCTTCCTAGTGAATTAGTAACCTGAGGGCTGTGGTCTTGCTAACACAGCAGGAAACATTCAAGGAGAATGAAGGCAAGTGTGGCCGGGGTCATGTGAGAGAAGGGGAACAGGGAGAGGAAGTTGCAGGGAGGCAAGGCCTTATCAGTAAAGGTGAGAAGTTTGGATTCTACGATGACAGGAACCTATGAGAGTGGAAAGATGGCTCTGTCTGCCAGTCAGCTGCCATCAGGGACTGACTTTAAAGGAAAGAGCTGAAGTCCGAGCAGGAAGGCTTGTCCTTTGGTGGTGCAGAAACTGCTGCATAAGACTAGTTGAAGGAGAGCAGAGATTTGGTAGCTGGGTTTGTTCAAGATGGAGAGGGCATTTTAGGCTGTGAGGGTAACTGCATGCGTGGGGAACTTTGCAAAAGGATGTTCTGGGGGGTTTCAGATGAGAGCACAGAAGAGCTGCTGTACTGTGCATCATTCAGATTCTGCAAATCGTGCTAAGAAGTGTGCGCGTCATTGCAGAAGATGGATGGGAGGCAGTAGCTGTACAAAGGAAGCAGGGTCAAAGCTGAATTTTAGGAAGATTAATACAGCAGCCACATGACCCAGAATCGGCCCAAAGGAGCAATCTGAAAGGGACCGTCACAAAACCTAATGCTAATGTAGCTGAAACACACAAAGCCATGCAAACTCATGCAATGTACATTACATATTAAATATGCTTAAGTGCATAAGATTTCGTGGATCATGAATAAATTAAAAATAAACGTTATATAACCACGCACACACAGGTGAGTACAGTCGACACAAATCATTACTGAAAACTAAAGCAAGTTGAACAGGTGAGTGTAATGTTTATAAAGTTGTTGGTATAACCACCCACAGAAATTACATAAGAGATAGTTAAAACACAATTTCAAATCCCTAGTAAATATACCCTGGAGACAAAAAGAATCAGAAACCCCTATCTGTTGTCTTTTCACTGGCCTGAGAGAGAGAGAGGCGTGATCAGATCGCTTAAAAACATGCTAGTGAAAGATCGGCCATCAAGTATGTTAGAGGTGCAGAAAAATATAAAAGTACTTACTTCTTGAACATTTTACCAGGATGGGCTTGGTCTGTCAAAACTGTGTATTTACACAAGCCTCAGATATATGTAGGCACCACTTTCTAGAGCAGTGGTACCTTCCTAAGCAGTTCCTCATGCTGTGGTGACCCCCAACCATAAAATTATTTTCATTGCTACTTCATAACTGTAATTTTGCTACTGTTATGAATCACAGTTCAAACACCTGCCATGCTGGTTATGTGACATGTCACCCCTGTGAAAGGGTCATTTGACACACCCCCAAGGGGATGTGACCCACAGGTTGAGAACTACTACCCTAGAGGATATCTCAAATTTTATAATTATCAGAGAATGAACTGGAGACATCTAATCACCATGACTGTCTTTTGTGGAAGTGACACTCCACAGTGCCCCGTGGAGGCTTTGGACAGTATGACCTGGCTAGAGTCCATTCTGGATGGAAGCAAAAAATGAGCTGCAAGGAGCCCTGCTGGCCATGGGCTTCTCTTCCTGTGTCTTGTGGCAGTCAGTGGATTCTTCGAAAACATGCACCATGTCTGGCAATGGGTAAGAACTCTCATTCCTTGAGGTTCAATCTGTCAAGCTCTTTTCATTACCTCACTTGTAATACTTAATTTGTACTGGAAGTACAAGCATAAACACTAAATTACCTACACTTATCTATTGAAAAGGCCCATGAAAAGTCTCAACTACAGCGTGAATTCTTGGTGTCTAGGCAGGGTATAACTCATGGAAACGAATCCAGGTTTCCTGGAGAAATGGCTGAGGTTAACCTTTAGGTTAGGAAATACACTGAATGTGAGACGTACAAAAAAGTCATTAAAGATTCCCCAGCATCCAGTCAAAAGGACAAAGGCATATCCAAAAGGTAGCCCAATGGACAGGAGTAAGATACCCTGAGCAACAAGAATGGCTGTAGAGACTGAGCTGGGAATAACTAAAGATCAGGGGTTTGTGATGAGGTGGGCGTATTTTAAAAAGCCAATTTGTTCTTCCTCCAAGTTTCTGCACATGGACTTCCTAAAACCTTAGAATTCCCTTCTATATGCCAATGTGAGTGGGAGCCAGGACTCCTAAGTTACCAGACTAGAGAACTAACTATGCAATCGGAGGCCTGAAGCCTCAACCGCTGCATCATCAGAGGAGTGGAGGGTAATGAAGCTTCTACACAACTCCCAGAGGACTGAGTTCCAGGAGGTTCTCAGCACCAGAGAGGATGGAGGCTCCTGGAGGGTGATGTACCCAGAGGGGCATGGGAGCTCTGCTTCCCCTCTCCACAACTCAGTCTACACATTTCCTGTCTGGTTGTTCACTGCTGTCTTTAACATACTTTGGAATATACTTCTTAACAAATGGGCAAACACAAGTCTATTCCTGAGTTTTGTGAGCTGCTCTGGCAAATTAACTAGACCTAAAGATGGATGCCATGGGAACTCTGGCTTACACAGACTGTCAGCAGCACAGGCAACTGGCATGTGCATGGGGCAGGTGGCAATCCTGTGGGATCTGATGCTATCTCCAGGTAGAGTGATGGAACTGTGGTAAATAAGCGGACACCAGGCAACATCAAATGTAACATCCACTGCGGAATTGCTTGCTTGCTGTGTGGGGAAATACTGACCAACTGGTGAGTATAAGAAAATTACCTGCATTTGTTTCTTTTCTCTGTATTCTTACCAATGCTCAAGACCAAGGAACTTTAAACTATATATTTATATCTATAACTATCTGGTGAAGAGCTTGTCAGATTATTCTAGGATATTGTCAACCGTAATTTTTAGTTGAAAAATTAAGGCACTTTTAAGTTGCAGCAAATGATTTTTCTATTAATGAGTACAACAGAGTTTCGGTTGGATCGATTCCTGACAGTGGCTGGCAATGAAGTAAGTGCTGCCTGCTGTGGTTATCTGTGAAGTAATAAAGTAAATGGCAAAATGGCAGGCTGTGGCAGAGTGGCGATGCGGCCAAACTTTAACACACACTGTTCTGAGATCAGCTTTCAATGTCAAGCTGTGACGCAGGCGCAGCTTAGAAGATTAGGGTTCAGTTTCAATGAGAGAAGGTCAACACCTAAATCAAGTCACCTGGGATGATGAAAAGGGCAGTAAAAACCCAACACAATTCTGCAACGACACTGAAAATTCTGTTTCTTTCTTTTTGTCCTACCTTGACATGTATTTTAACTTTTTTTCTCAAAGGAATTTACATGCTAGTATACAAAAATGCCAAGACAGTAATAGAAAATGCATGCAATTTTATCTATGAATTCAGGTCATGTAATATCAAACCTGCACAGTGAATATACGAGTCCTGTAAACTACATTCTGCACTTTCTATGTGGTTAATAATCAGTAAGATCAGTTTTTGTTAGCATTTGTCTAAATTCCCTAGTTTTAAAGTTTCAATGGTTTCTTTCCGACATCAGGAGAAATCAAGGCAAGTGTCAAGGCTACCTGGTTTCCGGGCTCTCTTTGCTTCTTCATAGCTCTTGCTGCTTAGACTTGGAGATTCTACAAAGCTGATTTCTTCACCGACACTGACTTCCTCCTCAGTCTTGGAGCTCTCTTCCTCTTCCTGAAGAGGGGACTCCACCTCTGGGTCCTCAGAATCAACAAATATCTGGCCAGCAACCACTCTGCCTGTGGTGGAGTGGTCCTTCACCGACTCATCGGCTGGCAAAGAACTCTGAGAATATAAAATATATTTGTTAGTTATCATCTGTACTAAGACTCTCTCCAAGCCAGTCTGACCACCGCTTTGATAAGTGTCTACAGGTGTCTCCTTCAGCTCCATGATGTGCCAAGCTCACACCTGACTATAGATATGCTCTGATGTGCTCATCAGAGTTGGGGCCGCACCACCTGATGACTGTGAATTTCAATCAGACGTGACTTCTTTCATCCTCAAAGTCTGGATTATGTTCTTGTTTACATGCACTCCTCATACTTTACACCTGCCCTTGGTAACTCTGTATTATGACTGCCTGTTTTTATCTCTATTCCGCCTAGAGATCAGGGTTTGTAACTAGCAGACCTCCTGGATAAGTCAGGAACAAGCTATACCCATGCAAATCCATGAGGACATGCATTTCCTGGTTTGATTTTAAAAATTACTTAGGTGGAAACAAATGGCATGGTGATGTAGCGGTGCATACTCTTAATCCCGGCACTTGGGGGGCAGAGGCAAGGATCTCTGTAAGTTCAAAGCCAATCTGGTCTACATAGTGAGTTCCAGGCCAGCTGGGACTGTATCGTAAGACCTTATCTCACACACACATGCACACAAAAGTGGGCAAGGTGGTGCACACATGAAATGCCAGCACTTGGGAGGGCAAAGACAGGAGGAAGAGAAACTGAGGGTCATCTTCGGCTACATAGTGAGTTCGAGGCCTGACTGAGCTACATGAGACTTTAGGGGGGGGGAAAGGGAATAAAATCAATCTCTCTCTGGGCACTAGAACTGCTGTCTTAGAGCTCTTTTATGTGAATATCTACCATCCACACAGCATATTCAAATTGAAGCTGAAAGTGACTCTAACAGCCAGCACTCCTTAGGGAAATTCTTATTATTCTTTCATAGATTAGTGATTTTTTTTTAAACCAAAAGAGTTAGAATTAATACTGATATCTTCTTTGAATTTTGTTCATCAGAATCAGTATGTCCTCTCTACAGTGTGTAACTCCTGCCTTTAATTTGTTCAGTGCAAATCTTAGTACCTACCTTGGAATCTATGGATTCGTCCTGGTTACTTTCGTCATCTGCAAAGAAATTTTAAGACAAATTATCTCTTTTGTTGGGAACTACAAAAGGTAGAAAGCACACAAAAGACACCACGTGTCCCTAAACAAGAGTCCAAGAGTTTCGGGGGTTGTATGTGGAGGCTTGGAGGAAGAACCAACACACAACAGATAATAGCCAGTCACTGGATAAATGAACCCGGATCATTTATTTATTTATTTAGGCTTTTTGAGACAGGGTTTCTCTGTGTAGCCCTGGCTGTCCTGGAACTAGCTCTGTAGAGCAGGCTGGCTTCAAATCCACAGACATCCACCTGCCCCTGTTTCCTGAGTGGTGGTATTAAAGATCTGTGCCACTATCGCTTGGCTAACCTATTTAAAAACTGATCAGATTCAAATATCTCACAAAAGTTTAAGGGAAAAATTGACCCTTCATTTTCCACATAGGGAAACCAAAAGGCTTTCTTCTCACTCCCCCCAAACCAGCCTCTTCTTCAGATTGCATCACAATTTATAAAAATGAAGCTCCAATTCCAGGTTTTTAGCCATTTTGTTTCTCTGCTGAGAATCTGGAGTTACTGTAGGTTATTTTAGTTCTGAGCAGGATCTTGTTGTTTGAGTAACACAACCAAGGATGGGAACAAATGATAATTGCCATTATTATTCAGCGGAGTTAAAACATATTTAGATAAATACATTTAATATTTGTGACCTACTTTGCTAAAGAGATACCTAGATACAGGCCAGGTGTAGCAGTGAACTATCGTGTGTTGCTTGTATGAGAGTATTTATTAAATCAATGGTTTCCTTATGTCTATGTGTCTGGGTAAGTGTATGTGGGTGTCCATGGAGGCCAGAAGAGAGCTGGGGCTTATGGATATAGCTATGGGATGTTTGACAAAGGTACCAAACACAGGCCATCAGGAAGAAAGCAAACATGGTTAACTGCTGAGCCATATCCTCAGGCCCAAGAAATCAGCTTCTTTTTTGGGGGGGATCTGAGACAGGGTTTCTCTGTGTTTTGGAGGCTGTCCTGGAACTAGCAATGTAGACCAGGCTGGCCTCGAACTCACAGAGATTCACCTGCCTCTGCCTCCCGAGTGCTTGGATTAAAGGCGTGCACCACCAACACCCGGCCAAAATCAACAGCTTCTTAAAAGATGTGTGTGTGTGAGCTTGAGGGCATGTGTGTAGACATGGCTCAGTACAAGGGCACTGGATGCTCTTGTAAAGGTCTCGGGCTTGGTTTCCAACACCACAGAGTGGCTCTCAGCAGACTGTGACTCCAGTTCCTGGTGAATGTGACATCCTTTTCTGGCCTTCATGGGCACCAGGAATGCACATGCTGCACAGATATTCGTGCAAGCAAAACACTCATACACATAATAAAAATAAACCTTAGAGAAAAAGAAATCAATAAATGTTTTAAAAAAATCAATGATTCTAGCCATTATTTACAGCTTGGTTCTGGATGCATACAGGTAGCTTCGTTTTCTCAGAAAAACAGGTTTTTTAAGATTATCCTTTCCATGTTTTTTGGCTGTTTCCACTAGTCTTGGTGGCTGTTTATACTGCTGTCTATAGAAACGGTAATGACTCAATGCCAGGTGCGAGTGTTTGACCTTCCTAGTCATTGCCAATGTAAAGAAAAACAGCCACAGGATCTTGTTTCCTTCTTCTCTTTCTTAAAATGATCGGATTTTACCCTGAATGGGCATTGATATCTCCTTGTATAAGCTATATGAGAAATTCACAGTAAAATTCTATAAAACCAGTTTTTACTGGACAATGTGGCATTATTTTTGTTTCAGATGGTTCTACCTTAAGGGCTTGAACTTTATACAGCTTATTTCGTAGCATTTGTTTTGCATATCTGAGAAAAAGTCTTTTAGTGAAGTTTTACCACATATGTTTCCAATCTAAAACAAAAAATGTATAGCTACTATTTAGATTCACTTGCTTTAAGAGGACCTTCAAAATGTTTCATTTTTGCAGGTTGGAAGTAATGGTTGTGGGTATGGCATGTCTTAATCTTACAGTGCTCATCACTGTGGTCCATGAGCCGAGTTAAGAATCATCCTCCCTCCCAGCTTTTTGAAGATCTACATGGTTCAAATACGATCCTCAGTAAATCTCTTGCTAAGGGAAGGGAGTCCATATCTATTATGTATCAATGTTTTATGTACAAATGTAATTTGCTAATCTCAAATACCAACTATTTAGTACAAGAAGAGTAGGCACCAACTGTGCAAACTTGTCTAAGATATGTCCCTATACACTGGGCCTTTGGACTTGCTGCAAATGCAAATCACTAAGTCAGCCAGAGACAGCTGATAAGTAAATAATATAGATACCGATAAGTGAATATATATGATACACATCTGAAACACAGAAAACAGTGAGGCACTGAAGGAGCAAGATGTGTTGTTGCGCTCCACCAGAAAGGACCTGTGACATCAGGGTGGTTTCAGGTGAATTGCATCATTCTTTCTTCCACAAACTAGGAGCACATATTAAGATGACTTGGTCAACAAAATATTTTTTTCTCAGTCACTAAACAGGAAAACCTACTCCAAACAGTAGCTTTAATGATAAACTAAAACTATTTTCTTTTACCAGCTGGTATTTACACATAATACTTTAGAAATGGTTGCTGGCGAGTGACTCCAAATAATTCTGAATGTAGTTTTCAAGTAAAATCAGAGATACTGACTTGTGCAAAAACAGGAAGGCACAGTAATGCTTGAATCGGATATTGCATTTTATCAGCTACAGATACAAAGCAAGGAGAAAAAAATGCAAAAGGATTCAATGAAGAGTTCCAAATGTCTCATTCATCAGTGTCACATCTAAAATGTAAGTGTCAAACTATTTTAACTAACTGTACACCTTCCCTTGAAAAAAGAACCCTTTTCGTTTCTTGTTATAACAGCTTATATGACCAGGGATATAAATATATATATATGTATATATATATGTACACACACACACACACACACACACACATATATATATATTTGTTTTTGTTTTTCTAGACAGGGTTTCTCTCTGTGTTGTTTTGGAGGCTGTCCTGGAACTCGCTCTGTAGACCAGGCTGGCCTCGAACTCACAGAGATCCACCTGCCTCTGCCTCCTGAATGCTTGGATTAAAGGCGTGAGTCACCAACGCCTGGCATGACCAGGGATATTCTGATAAGGAAAGATTATCATTACATATTCATCTTGTTATGTGTCATGCACACTAAACAGAATAATCCTCCAAACATAAAGAGCAGTGAGTTTAGTGAAAAGGGAACAGCCGTCCTGCTTCTGCTTTGCTTGACATGCTTCTGGATCCTAAGTCACCCCATATCTGAGGGTTGGAAAGCTGAGACCAGGCTTCCTGAATACTTATTTGTACACACATGGCTCAATATGAAAAGCTTGCTCAATCTCTGTTTTCTTAGTCTGCCAAAAGGGAATACCACCATGTGTCTGTTGGTTCACAATGATGCTGTGAGGTACAAGTAAAACAGGAGTTAAACACCCTCAGCCATCTAGAAGCTGCCCTCTGGACTTCTGTATTAGTACAGCTTACCTCAAATACTTGGCAGTGTTGATAATGTAAACACTGTGACAGTCACTCTCCTAATCTCTTTCAGTCTCTCTTCACCCTGGCTTGGAGTGAACATAGGCCACCCAATGACACTACCAATAAGGTACACTCCCAGCTCCAACAAAGCCTGCCTTTCTAAGTGAGAAAGAGGAACACCCTTTCACTGTTATCTTGAGAAAATTAAGGAGAAATATCTTCTTCTTTTTAACCTTCCTAATTTATTAAAAAGAAATAATTTCTGTATGATAACCATATCTCTAAACCATGCTTAGATAGCAGATATGTTTACTAACACAGATGGAATGAGCGCCCGCTTTATTGGCTAATCATTTCCTTTGTGGTAGGGCTGCTAACTTCAACCTACCCTGGATGACATTAATATTAAATATAAAACGACCATAAAATCTGATTTTTATTAAGAGCAAAGCTTTAAATCTCAGTTTCAAAACTGAGGTAAGCATTCTATGTAAATAAGTAACTGAAAGCATGGCACGGAGAACTTTCCTACATTTTCCGTGGACTGTATTGTGTGTACTTTGAGCTCATGGCATTGGAGACTATCACCAGTTGAGAGATATCCTAAAGTATTTAGCATTCAAGTGTTAAATCTAAGGGCTGTAAACTCTTTAGACTCTGCAAATTGAGTTTCAGGGGGATACATGTTATGTTGTTTAGTTACTGGATTCTTTAAGCTTCAGTGTGAAAAACCACAGAGCTGGTTCATATATAGGTACGTGGTGTATTCTAGACCTAACACTGTATTATTAACAAAAATCCCGAGGGGAATTCAGCTGCAGGAGGTCCACAGTCCACTTTACCCATGACATGCACCAGCTCCACTTCTTTCGAGCAGTAACTGCCAAAATTTCTGCAGGAGTCTAGTATTGTATAGTCTTTAAGGAGTTGATAATCAGCACACACTGTCACCTCAAGGGGAGCAGAATCGACCTCGAGCATGACGCTGGCAGTCAAGTGATTACCATATGCTAGCCACTTTTGAAGTGGCATCTAAAACACACAACGGTTGTAACTCTCTTATTTTAGCAGCAGGATGACATTATGGCTTTCGTTTACAACTAGGACAGAGAATTTGGGGATTCAAGTAAACATCTGGGAAAATTTCGGTTGTTAAAAAAATAAAGTTGACAGTTATATTTTCAGTGTTCCAGGAAAACAAAACAAAAAAGTAAAGCCACCCAATAGCTGTCTTGTTAAATGAAACTGATCAAATCTCAAAGTCTTTCTGTAGACAATGTATATCAACAGTTAAAACAGTCTTTAAGTGTGTTTAAAAATAAACATTTCTGATAGTAACTTTTCTGATACAGGCAAATCAAAACATTAAAAAAGAAAGTTAGTGTAAGTCAGCCAGTTGAAAAATCAATTACTAATCACACAGATTTCTGCATCTACAGAAAAAAGGCTAAACTATTTTTCTATTCATTTTGAAAGAACCAAGTCTCTCTCAAAAATCATGAAATTACCATCTACAAACTCAGAAACACCGTGGCAGGGGTCAAATTTTCCCAGGAAGGTTTATTGTGTGTGTGTGTGTGTGTGTGTGTGTGTGTGTGTGTGTGTGTGTGTGTGTGTGTGTGGTGAGTCACTACAATCCTATCAGAGGTTTTTCTTTTAAAAAGCCAGACTAACAGACCAGGTGTTGAGCAATCCCACCAAGCCACTGTCAACATCCTAGTCCTGATGAACCCTGCTCTGCAGAAAGTGACAGCTCCAGGTATGTCAACTGCAAACCCCAGCGTGTCCCAGAGTCTGTGCACACAACACCTAGGTGAAGGCTGCGGAATCCCGGTGGGTCTACTCAGCCAGGTGTCGGGAGTCCCTCCCCACCAGTTAATTCCTCATTCGTCAGAAGTCACCTAAAGTTTGCTGCGTGGGAGACGTGTGGGCAGGGAGACCAGCCCTTCCTCACGTCCAGCTTCCTAAGCACCCCCTTTGGCCCAGGATAACCAAGGCTAGAGCGAGTGACAGTCAGGGGACCTGTGAACCGAGACGGCGGAGCCCCCCGGCCCTGTCTCCACCGCGGTCGGGGGGCGGTGGCTCGGGGCCTGCTGCCCGAGGCCCGATACTGACCGGAGGACGCGGTCGCCGAGCTCAGGAGCACCGCGCAGAGCAGCAACGTCAGCCCGACGTGGACCTGCATCCTGTTCTCCGAGGTCGAGAGCCGCCGCGGTTACCGCGACCAGCTCAGCCGCAGCCGCCTCACCTCCGCCTCGCCGCCGCCTCGCAGCCGCTCTTCCTGCTCAGGTTCCTTCTTCGCCCCTTCCCAGGCCGCCCTGGCCCAGCGCGCAGCCAATCGTCAGCCGCCGCTCAGGCCTCCTGGTCCAATGGCCGTGCTCGCCCCGCCCCGCTTATGGGCACGCCCCCTATGTCATCCCTTAGCCAATCACCGTGCACGATTCTCACACCCGCTCTCTCGGTTGGGCCACGGCCTCACCGACATGGCCCCAGCTAATTGGTAGTGCCTGAGTCAGCGGGTTAGGCAAGGGCTCGGATTAAAAAGACCCTCTCTCAGGACTACAAGTCCCACAATGCACTTCATTAGAGTCTCTCTCTGCCGGTGCTCTTGGGAGATGCAGTCCAGAATAACGCAGGCATACAAACAGCAGGTGGTTGAGAAAGTTAAGAATTGTTCTACAAACTCTAGGAGTGGATTCAAGGCACTCTTTTGCGTTTGAACCAGAACAAATATCAAGGAGCAAACATTACATGGTTAAAACTTGTAAAGGTTGCTAAGGATTTCTTTGTAATTTTCTTGAGAATTTGAACTGGACTTGACATGAGCACTGAGAAGTATGCAACAGCTACTTTTTAAATATTTTTCGAATTTACTTTAAAAACACAGGTCTTTAAAAACAAAAGCTTGGGTAAAGCAATACCTGTAGTGTGCAGAGGCTGCAGTACAAGAAAATGCTGCTCATTTTTCCTCTAATGAATTATAAAGGGAAAGAAATTGCCCCTGGTGAAGACTGGTTCAACTCCTGTGTTCATTATTGCTTCCAGATCTACTAGCCATCCGGTCAATGTACCAACAGCTCTCCAAAACCTCTTTACACACTGGTCCTCATTCTTCTCTGTGGAAATACTGCAGCGTTCTCTTCTTCCTTGACCAGGCATGGGATTACATGACTGCGCGGAGAGAGAGGCGAGAGCTTAAGGCGTTTCGGGCATGGAGATAGTTATGTAGTAAGTACGGATGCAGGGCATGATCCGTTGGAGCAGCAGGGCAGCATCTTGGTGCTTTGCGATCTTCTGTTTCGTTCTACTGAGATTTATTCCCCAGCACTGGCACAGAGTTGGTTCTCAGGCCAGGAACTCATCTGGGGTCTGGAGAAAGTCCTCTGTATTAGTGTCTGGTTGCCTTTGAACCGTTCTTTTTCCATCTTCTTGACAGTTTTTATTTTTAGGAAGATGTTTCAAAATTGGGTGCTGTTCATTTGCTTCAGAGGGGATTTGGAAAAGAAATATCACAAACTCTCCTCTATGCGTGTGTGTACATCTTCATTTGGGTAGGTATGTCTCTCTCTCTCTCTCTCTCTCTCTCTCTCTCTCTCTCTCTCTCTGTGTGTGTGTGTGTGTGTGTGTATGTGTGTGTGCGCACAAAGTGTAGAGGACAGAGGTTGATGTCAGGTATCTTCTTGGTTGATCTCCACTTTGGCTTTTGAGATAGGGTCTCTCACTCAATATGGAGCTTGTAGATTCAGCTAGACTGGTTCGAGTAGAAGTCGTAAGAACCCTCCTGTCTCCTCCTCCATAGCAACGAGCTCACAGGTTCATGCTGCTGTCCTATGCCTGCTTTTTAAAATAACATGGGATCTGCAGGATGGAGCTAAGGTCCTTAATATTAGATCTCAGTCGTCCATATGTTCAGCAAGGAGCTCTTCTGGCGGTCAGATAAAAGCCAGGATTCTTCAGGATCTTGTGCAAATGGTTTCCATCTGCCACAAAAAAGGAGGCATTTCCACTTAGTCTGGCAGAAGGGACATGTACCTGTGGCTGCATCTCAAAGCCTATGCCAGCCTCCAGGGCCCCCTCAGTTTCTGCTCACAAGTACTTGTCACTCATTTCAAAGCCCTGGTGCCAGTCTCCTGGCCCTTCCCTCTCTGCATCTACTCACCTTCCTCTACTATTCCGGTAGATACTCTCTCTCACTTCTCTCACTGTTCTCTCACGGTGCTATCTCTTGCTATCTCCACTGTTCTCTCCCCACTCTCACGTCCCTCGTTCTGGCCATGTCATCCAGTTTTCCTTTTTTTCCTGCTCTGGATTCTTCCAGATGTCTCCGGTGGTTTTCCCTCTCATCCATACAGTAAAAACCTTAAGATATCATTGAGAGGTCATGTCAGCAGTTTTTTTTCTTTTATCATTTTTATTTTAATTTTAAATGGCTTGTTTTACATGTCAATCCCAGTTCCCTCTCCCTCCCTTCCTCCCGCACTCCCCTTCCCCCCCATCCTCCCACCCTATTGTCAATTCCTTCCACATAGGGGATATCTAGAGTCTGTCATTTCACTCTGGGTAGGGTCCAGGCACTCCCCTAAGAGTCCAGGCTGAGAGCATCCCTCTTTGTGCTATGGGCACACGATGACTGTTTGTATTCCAGGGATAGACAATGATCCACTGCTCAGGGCCCCATAGGTTGCCCAGGCCTTCTCACTGAGACTCACATTTGGCGGGTCCAGATCAGTCCCATTCTGGCCTCCCCACTGTCGGTCTGGGATCCAAGAGCTCTCCCCTGTTCAGATCAGCCGTCTCTGCTGGTTTTGCCAGCCCATTCTTTGCCAATTTGCTCATCACTCCTCTCTCTCTGTCACTGGGTTCCTTGGGTTCAGTTCAGTGATTAATTGTGTGTTTGCCTCTGCTTCCATCAGTCACAGGATGAAGGCTCCCGGATGGTTATAGACATCAAGTTCATTATCAGGAATGGGCATTCGAGGTGGTCTCTCCACTATTGCTTAGCTTGCCAATTGTTGTTATCCCTTTAGATGACTAGAGGTCACTCTGGTGCCTGATCTGTCTTCTAACCTATGATTCCCTCTTCCCCCTATTCTACCCCCACCCACTCAACTTCCTGTTCCCCTATGACCTACTCTCTCTTCCTCTTCTCTCCCTCTCTTCTTCCCAGATCCCACTCCCCCCCAACCCCTCGCCGTGTTCCCCATCCATTCAGAGGATCTTGTCTCAATCCTCTTCTCTTGGGTACTATGCATATATGCATATCTTTTAGTTTCTTTCCTGTTTCCCAGACTATCAGTGGAAGTGCAGACTGGCACTATCCTGATCCATGTCTAAAATCCATATATTAGTGAGTACATACCATGTTTGTCTTTTTGCGACTGGGTTACCTCACTCAGGATGGTTTCTTCCAGTGCTATCCATTTACCTGCAAATTTCAAGATTCCATTGTTTTTTTCTGCTGAGTAATACTCCATTGTGTAAATGTACCACATTTTCTCTATCCACTCTTCAGTTGAGGGGCATCTAGGTTGCTTCCAGGTTCTGGCTATTACAAATAATGCTGCTATGAACATAGTGGAGCAGATGCCCTTGTTGTATGAATTTGCCTCATTTGGATATATGCCTAAGAGTGGAATTGCTGGGTCTTGTGGTAGATTAATTCCCATTTTCCTGAGGAATCTCCATACTGATTTCCAAAGAGGGTATATGAGTTGGCACTCCCACCCGCAGTGGAGGAGTGTTCCCCTCTCTCCACATCCTCTCCAGCATAAATTGTCTTCGGTGTTTTTGATTTTAGCCATTCTGACAGGAGTAAGATGGTATCTCAGAGTTGTTTTGATTTGCATTTCCCTGATGGCTAAGGATGTTGAACACTTTCTTAAGTGTCTCTTGGCCATTTTAGCCTCCTCTATTGAGAATTTTCTATTTAGTTCTGTACCCCACCTTTTAATTGGATCCTTTGGTGTTTTGGAAACTTGTTTCTTGAGTTCTTTGTAAATTTTGGAGATTAGCCCTCTGTCAGATGTAGGGTTAGTGAATATCTTTTCCCATTTTGTGGACTGCCTTTTTTTCTTGTTGACTGTGTCCTTTGCCTTACAGAAGCTTTTTAGTTTCAGGAGGTCCCATTTGTTAATTGTCGATCTCAGTGTCTGTGCCACTGGTGTTATGTTTAGGAAGTGGTCTCCTGTACCAACTCGTTGAAGAGTATCTCCCACTTTCTCTTCTAAAAGTTTCAGTGTGGCTGGATTTATGTTGAGATCTTTGATCCATTTGGACTTAAGTTTTGTACAAGACGATAAACATGGATCTATCTGCAGTCTTCTGCATACCAGTACCCAGTTATGCCAGCATCATTTGTTGAAGATGCTTTCTTTTTTCCATTGTACAGTTTTAGCTTCTTTGTCAAAAATCAAGTGTTCATAGGTGTGTGAGTTAAAATTAGGGTTTTCAATTCGGTTCCATTGGTCTACCTGCCTATTTTTGTGCTAATACCAAGCTGTTTTCAGGACTATAGCTCTATAATAGAGCTTGAAGTCAGGTATGGTGATGCCTCCTGAAGTTCCTTTATTGTATAGGGTTGTTTTGGCTATCCTAGGCCTTTTGTTTTTCCATAAAAAGTTGATTAATGTTCTTTCCAGGTCCTTGAAGAATTGTGATGGAATTTTGATAGGGATTGCATTAAATCTGTAGACTGCTTTTGGCAAGATTGCCAGTTTTATTATGTTGATCCTACCAATCCAAGAGCATGGGAGATCTTTCCATTTTTCTGGTATCTTCTTTGATTTCTTTCTTTAAAGACACAAAGTTCTTGATATACAGGTCTTTCACTTCCTTGGTTAACATTATCCTTAGATATTTGATGCTGTTTTTGGCTATTGTAAAGGGTGATGTTTCTCTGATTTCTTTCTCAGTCACTTCATCATCTGTATATAATAGGGCCACTGATTTTTTTGAGTTTACCTTGTATCCTGCCACATTGCTGAAGGTGTTTTTCAGCTCTAGGAGTAACCTTGCGGAGTTTTTTGCGTCACTTATGTAAACTATCATATCATCTGCAAATAGTGAAAGTTTGAATTCTTCTTTTCCTATTCATATCCCCTTTATCTCATTTTGTTGTCTTATTGCTGTAGCTAGAACTTCAAGTAAAATATTGAAGAGATATGGAGAGAGTGGACCGCCTTGTCTTGTTCCTGATTT